AAAGCTGTCCTGTGGCCTCCACACCCAAGGCGTGGCACGTGTGCATCCTACACACACACATAGGCAAAAAAAGGTGCCGAGGATGGGAGCCCATTCCCAGTGATAGCTGAGGTAACTTCCTTTGTTTTTTTTTTGGGTTTTTGAGACAGGGTTTCTCTGTGGCTTTGGAGGCTGTCCTGGAACTAGCTCATGTAGACCAGGCTGGCCTCGAACTCACAGAGATCCGCCTGCCTCTGCCTCCCAAGTGCTGGGATTAAAGGCGTGTGCCACCACCGCTCTGCTGAGGTAACTTCCTTTGGCTGACTGAGTTTCCCTGATCGCTTCTTATCTATCTACCTTAAAGCAGCGGGATGCACATCTATAATACAAATACACAGAACCAACTTTTCATCTAGTGAGGCCTAAGCTCTTATGGTGACTCTGACGTGTAGTCAGGCTGACCACGGCTCCACTCAGGTGCCTTTGACTAACGGCTTGACCCAGGATGATGCGGGGGCTCCTGAGAATCTGAAAACAAGCTGGCATGTCGGAACAGAGAGCTTCTGCTATGCTTCACTGCCAAGATGCCTAACTACACATGCAACTCCCAAGTCATTTGTAAACTGCTAATTCAGGCTGCTTATTCCTGTTTAACAACGTAAGTCCCCATTGCCAACTTTCAAAAATGTCTCAGATACTTCAAGCCTCTTTGGTGTAATCTTAGAGTTTCTGCTAATTTTAATTGGTTAAGTTTTTTTTTAAAAAAACAACACTCATTTACATTTAAATGTATGCAGGTAGGACTAACTTTTGACTGCCTGGTTTGTGCTCTAGTTCTGAGTGAAGGGACTCTGGCCACCTCCAGTGTGGCAGGCATGGCTCAGGCAGGCCTTGTCCTTCTCCCCATTCCCTCTGCCTCGCTAGAAACCGTTAGACTGCATCCCTGACGCTGCCACCGTGGTCTGTTCCCTATCTGGCCTCCAAGGTCCAGATATCAAAGTACTGAAATCCAGCAATCAGAAGTCCTCTTTGGCTCACCTAACTAACACGCCCAATTAAAATGAAACGCCTCATCCTAACACAGGGTTTCCCCCTTCACCTTTATAAGCGACCATTTGCTTATGTGCATGTCTGTCTCCCCTCTCTCCAGAGGCAGCCCTTTGTCCCACTGGACAGACATCCCCTCCCCACTTTCTCCCTTGTCCCCTGTCTCCTTTACCTCATGTCCTAGCCCATTCTAACACAGACCTCCTGTTCTTCTCCTCTTAAAAATTACACCTGCAGGCCGGGCAGTGGTGGCACACACCTTTACTCCTAGCACGTGGGAGGCAGAGGCAGGTAGATCTCTGTGAGTTCGAGACCAGCCTGGTCTACAACAGGACAGGCTCCTAAACTACACAGAGAAACTCTGTCTCGAAAAAACAAGAAACAAACAAAAAATTACACTTGCAGGGCTGGAGAGATGGCTCACAGAGGTTACTGACTGCTCTTCCATAGGTCCTGAGTTTATTTCCCAGCAACCACATGGCGGCTCACAACCATCCATAATGAGATCTGGCGCCCTCTGCTGGCCTGCAGACATACATCACTGTACACATAATAAATAAAAACCTTTTAAAAAATGACACCAGTGAGGTCACTTGCTGCTGTTTTCTGCCTGAGGCCTGAGGCAGAGCACAGTCACTGTAACTTTTCTTCCCCACTCAATAAAGGCTCTCTGTGAAACGGGTGTTTGCGTGTGGCTTGTGCCTAATCCGTGTCTAGGAGGGCATCCGCGGTGTGCAGGGGGTGGGGTGGGACGGGGCTCAGTGAGTGTATTTGTTCCTCAGCATTAAAAGATAACACCGCCTTCCTAACTCCATCCTTGGAGTTTGACTTAGTCCTAATATTGTTCTATAATTTATATAAAAGATCCTTACGGAGAGCACAAAGGCCTAGAGGGAAGCCCTCTGTGCTTAGTGATCTGCAGATTTACACAAAATCTACAAATGGCCCGGAAGGCTGGTGGAAAAGGGAAATGTTCTGGGTCCCAGAAGAAAAGTGTTCTGGGGGAGGGCTCACCCCAGCCCCTGGCATCCATATACCCGGAGAGTCTGGGATGTTCTGAGTGAGTCTCTGGCCAAGGTCTGTTGTCCCCACAATCACAGACCTTGGCCAGAGACCCACTTTCTGGGGGAGGGCTCACCCCAGCCCCTGGCATCCATATACCCGGAGAGTCTGGGATGTTCTGGGGGAAGGTTCACCCTAGCTGGTAATGTCTGGGGACACTTTTGTTTGTCACATCTTGTTTCTTGCATGTAGTGAGGTCAGGGATGTTACTAAGCATCCTGCAACATACGGGCCATAAATTATCTAGTTAAAAATGTCAACAGTGCAAAGGTCATATGACACAAATACTATTTAAATGCCTCACCACTAAAACTCTGTAACCCTGTTGTAGGAGGAGAGGGGAGTTTCTAGGTGGGGGTACCTTCTTGGCTTCACGTGCTGCCTGAGGAAAGGCACAAGTCCTCTCCACCTCTGCTGGGGACCCCTTTTGGGCAGGTCCTGGGAAGGGGGCTGAACTCCTCTAATCCTGTGAAATAGGAAGCCCTTGCCTGGCTTCCCAAGAGCCAAACAAGAAACCACTCCGGCCTCACCTGAGCGTTTCAAGAGTGGCAAGCATTGTTTGAGGGAGGCCCTTTGTACCCATGGCCTGCTTTCTTGGCAAGTTTACAATGAATTGAAATCCAACTCTAACTTCCTGGAACCCAAAGAAAGTCTGGCTTTGGGCAAAGGCCGTTTGGCTGGGATGTGTGCTTATGTAACTCCAGTATAGGGGCAAGTTATCCAGAGAATGCTAACAATGATGGAACTCACAGATGCATTATACCGTCCTTGTATCTTACACAGACTCACCAAACAATGGTTCTAATATAGGTTCAAGCATAACTGTCATGGGACAGGGTGTGTAGATGAAGGGTCACAAAGGAAGCATGGAAGGCCTCAAGAGAGACCGCCAGCGGGACTCTCTCACAGAGGACACCTCAGGGCCTGTCGGGTGCCTGTTTCCTGAGGTTTGATGTGACTGTCACTGCCTTGAATCTGAGCAGCTATGACTACTATCCCTAGGTCCTCCGGAGATACAATCAAATAACATTTACTTGTGAAGGGGTGGAGCTCAAGAGGACCCACCCTCCCTGAAGGTAGGTAGGCAGGCGGCTGGCAACAGCTGGAAGAGGGAGGCTCTTCTGTGGCTTAGCTGTCTGGTAAGGAACCCCAATAAACTTGCTTGTTTAGCCGGGCGTTGGTGGCACACGCCTTTAATCCCAGCACTCGGGAAGCAGAGGCAGGCGGATCTCTGTGAGTTCGAGGCCAGCCTGGTCTACAGAGTGAGTTCCAGGACAGTCTCCAAAGCCACAGAGAAACCCTGTCTCGAAAAACCAAAAAAAAAAAAAAACAAAACAAAACAAAACAAAAAACAAACAAACAAAAAAACTTGCTTGTTCACCACGCTGGATCTGGGGGCGTTACCATTTCTTATCTGCGGTAAATGGTAATAGGACTCCCCGGGAAAAGTCACAGAACAGAGCCCAGGGGTCTACACGGTAAGTGTATCCCAATGTGGCCAAATAAGCTTCTTTTTGTCTCACCCTGGCCTGGAGGTAGATTTCCGTATTTTGCCGTCCTCAGAACTAAACCCTGCCTCCTGAGTACAGCAGGAAATGCAGATGCATACATGTATGAGTTCTTGGGGGGGGGGGGAGCAGGAGATTTCGATCTTAAGAAGAAATAAATTCAGCCGGGCGTTGGTGGCGCATGCCTTTAATCCCAACACTCGGGAGGCAGAGGCAGGCGGATCTCTGTAAGTTCGAGGCCAGCCTGGTCTACAGAGTGAGTTGCAGGACAGCCTCCAAAGCCACAGAGAAACCCTGGACACAAGAAAACATGTTGTTGAAGCCTCTTTTTTCTTTTTTTTTTTGAAAGCCACAAAAGTAATTGTACCCTTTGCTCATTCCACAACATTCTAGAAACATTTCCCTTGAAACACTGTTTTTCACCTGTTGCATGGAGGTTCGGAAAATGACTTCCTCGGGCATTGAGTCCTCCAGGGCAGGGCTTACAGCCAGAGTGAGGCACAGGCCACCGCTGAGAGCTACTCGGCTGCCATTTTCGTGTCTTAAGCGGAGGCCCGCCAAATAGGCAAGATAATACAGAATTTAGCTGGAAATGGCGGGGCAGACAAGCAATCCTAGTTATTGGGGATAGCGAGACAGCAAGATCTAAAATTCCAGTTCAAGCCCTATCTATAAAAGTAAAAAGACAGGGGCGGGGCAGTGTGTGTTGGCACTCGGGAGGCAGAGGCAGGCAGATCTCTGTGAGTTCGAGACCAGCCTGGTCTACAGAGTGAGTTCCAGGGCAGCCTGGACCTTAACCCCAGGCATCGGGAGTCAGGGAGAGGCAGAGAGATCTCTGTGAGTTTGAAGCGAGCCTGGTCTTCATAGTGAGCTTCCCAGACGTGGGTCCGATCGGCAGGACCAGGAAAATAAACAGAAACAGAAGTAACGCGGTGTGCAGAGGAAAAATTGGGTGCGTTGGGGGGACAGGGCATGGGCTCTGCGCACTTTAAACCTCACGAGGGACTAGAGCCAGGACGAGAGCATGGGAATCTACGCCGAGGGGCCACCGGGGCGCGCTCCCCCAAGTCGCTCCCTCGCGCCCGGGCTACTCCAGGCAGGCCGAGCGGCTTCCGCCCTGCAGGGCGCGCCACGCCGGCTCTCGCGCGCTCCGGGTTTCCGCGGCAGCCGCGCGGGGCGGGGCCCCCCGGAGGAGACAATCGCGGCTCTCCCGCGCCGCCTCGGCTCTGGAACTTTCCGGCCCGCCGCGCTCCAGGAGCGGGCGCTGCGCTCAGCCCCGCGCCCCAGCGTGCCCCGCGGCCAAGGAGCTCCGGGGAGGGCGGGCGAACGGGGGCCCGCGGGCGACGATTGGTCCGGTGCCAGGGGTGGGCGTGGCCAGTCCCCGGGCCTATAAAAGGTCGGCGGCGGCGCGGCCTGGGTTTGCGCCGGCGTCTCCTGCGACGGCGTCTTCCGTTGTCGCCGGGTGTGTCCTCGCCGTCCTCCGGTTCCCGGGGCCGCCGCGCGTCCCCTCGCGAAGCAAGCATGGCGATGAAGGCCGTGTGCGTGCTGAAGGGCGACGGCCCGGTGCAGGGCACCATCCACTTCGAGCAGAAGGCAAGGCCCGGGGGACGCCGGGGGCCGCACCTGCGAGGGAGCCCGCCACGCCCCCGCCGCGGCCTGCGAGCCGCTAGGTGCTGAGTCACGGCGGCCTCGGGCAGGGGCTGGGCACCGGGGAGGGAGGCCGGGGAGCCTCGGGGAGGTCCCGGCCGGGTCCCTTTACCGCGTCCCGGAGCGTCCGGGCCCGCCCGAGACAGCCCTCCCTCCGGGCATCCGCTGTCCCGGCTGCTTTTCCGGTGTCGCTGTCCCACGGGCTCGGCCCTGTGCCCACCGGCCGCGTAGGTCGTTAAGATGTGTTTGCTAACGAGAGAGAGAGATGGAGATGGATGGCCTTGGGCAGTCGTCCATTGCTTTGCTTCTTCCTCTGCGAGCTCCAGGAGGGGACCCGGTGTTTTCTAGGGCAGCGAGTTTCTGCGCGCATTCGGAGTGCTGTGGAGGAATATTTTCGAAAAATGCTGTCAGTAGCACCGCAGGAACAGACACATGCGTCACAGGGAGGGTGTCCAGAGCCTTAGGGAGGTTCCCGTTTGCAGGGACATTTTGTCACACTTAGCGTCGTCCCGGGAGAGGGTTTGGTGGATGCAGAGTGTGCATGTGTGCTCTGGGGTGTTTTGCGTGCACGCGGCTTGTCTCCTTGCCAGGGAGAGCTGGTAACGTGAGTATAGTTTTTCTAAAGCTGCCTCGGTTTCAGCAGTTGCTTTGGCCTTTGGATGCATTTTGCTCCTTTTCTGTGTAAGTATTTTGTTTTTGTCTTTTTTTTCTCCCCTCCTCCACACGTAATTCACCACTGTGAGAAAGGGCTTCTCTCCTTTCCATGAGCAAGGTGACCCCTAGCTGGGGGTCCACCCCCGAATCCAGCCCGGTTCCTGCCACCTTCCACCAGCGCAGCTCACTGGGACTTCCTAGGGTTGGTGCCCTTTGTACTCGATGAAGACCAGACCCTTGGATAGATAAACATTCCAGATTGGCACTTGAATGACTTGGCTACCAATGCTGTTTGATTTACCCTGTTGCCAACTTTTTCCCGTCAAAAGTTTCTACCCAAAGTACTTTTTTTTTCTTTTTTTGTTTTTCGAGACAGGGTTTCTCTGTATTGTCTTGGAGGCTGTCCTGGAACTCTCTCTGTAGACCAGGCTGGCCTCGAACTCACAGAGATCCGCCTGCCTCTGCTTCCCAGGTGCTGGGATTAAAGGTGTGCGCCACCAACGCCCGGCTTCAAAGTCCTTTCTTTTGTTGAAAAAGTTGAGATTAAAAAAAAAAAAAAACAAGATAGAAGGGTGTCAGCCTGTGTGTTCCTGATGGCAATTGCTTCTTGATTTTTCTCTGCTGGTACAGTCTCTCTGGAGCTATACTAATTTGAATTTTGGATGTCACCACACTGCCTGGATGGTGCCTGGTGATACTGCCTGCGTTTCTATACTATCTGTATTGTTACTGTCTTTTCTTTTTGTGAAGTGGAAGTAACTCTGGTCAGACCCTGATGGATCCCCTCAGGCAGTAGGGCATATTTTCTGGCTACTAAGTAGAAACAAGAGAACTGATAGGAACGGATGAATCTCCCTGAGTGCTGAGTGGAGAGCAAGGGTCCGGGGTGGCCCTTAATCTGTTGTTCTGCAAGTAGCTTTTGAAATGCCGAGCGGCTCAGGCTCTAACTGAGAAGACCGACAGGGAGACCTGGAGCTAAGCAGCTGGAGAGTCAACCTGTAGGCTGTGGGCACACCTGAATTTGGACCTAGCTTTTTGTTTGTTGGGGGTGTGCCTTTTACTGTGAAGGGTAAAGGTGTAAACTAGCAATTTCCTTTGTTCAGAAGTATTTGCACTCAAAGTTGATGCCTTATTTTTTTTTTGTTTTTTAAATAAAGGCAAGTGGTGAACCAGTTGTGGTGTCAGGACAAATTACAGGACTGACTGAAGGCCAACATGGGTTCCACGTTCATCAGTTTGGGGATAATACTCAAGGTAGGTCTTGTACTGTGCAGTGACCATCTGTACTTGGCTGACTGGCAAGCACATGGGACCGAGTCAAGATTCAATTGCTAATGATCAAAACAGAAGAGATTTTTGTTTTTAAAGAAATTAAGTTAAAATAACTGCTTAGGTCTCCTTGAGGAAAGTAGCCACGAAAAGTAGTGTTTGATTCATTAAGTGTGAGAAGGCAAAGGAGTTGGTGTTTTTTATTGTAATAATGTCTTAGCTTTAAATCACAGACAAAAAATGAAACTGCTGCTGGTTTTGAGGAATTCTTTGAGGGGTTTGGCACTGGGGTTGAGGGTGGGTGCTTTACGAACAGTGTCTGGGAGCGTGAGGGTCCCCGTGGGACAGTGGAGAGAGCTGAGGGTGCTTGGAACGAGGCATAGTGTGTGTCAGAAAGAAGTCACAAGGAGCCGAGGGTTGTCCCTCCTCTTCTGTCCTCAGTCTGTCTCTTCTCTCTTTCCTTCCCTCCCCTTCCTAATAGAACGTCACTTCAAATAAGAAGTGGTGGCTTAGGTTGTATTTAGTGATCTTGCCATATTGGAGTAATGATCTGAATTTTGTTCACAAACTTGTAAGAACCTCATTCATGTTGCTAGAGCTTTTTCCTCCTCCTCTCCACCCCTGCCTCCCTCCCTTCTCTACATAGTCCAGGTTGGCCTGCAACTTGTGGTATATCCCAGTCTCTGAAGTTGGCATCCTCCTTTAGACTTGTGTGTGCTGGGTGATGGCATGTACCGTTAGGACCTGGGTGTGATGTGTCCTCATTTGGTCCACAGTTACTTGTGACGGATCAGGTTTGATCCATTTTGATAGTTACTAAAAGTTCTGCTCTGATAGCTTTGATTTGCAAAACTCCTTTCTGAATCCTGCCCTGCATGTACTCCCTGGGTCTGAGTAATTGTAAATAGTGGAAGTCTCCGCCTGAAAGGAACGAGCGATGTTGTGTAGGGCAGGAGCTTTGGCCATTGGGCATAAGGTTCCATTTAACAATCTGCCTGCCCCAGGTAAAGGCCAGATGGGTGAGCTACTTGGGGCACATGGTCTTGAAAGACAAGTGTTTTTGTCAAAACAGTATGGCACCTTCTTAAAGCCAAGATCTTTAAATATGGGACTTTAACTTCAGAAGAGCCATTGGAGAGTACATCTGCTCTACGTAAAGGAAGGAGCCAGAGCCAATATGGTGTGACACCCCCATGTTCCTAGCACATGGAAGGCTGAGGCAGGAGGATCACAGGTTGCGGGTATCCTGGGCTGTAATAGTGAGACCCTGTCCAAAACGCAAAAAACGGGAAAATGTGGCAGCCTAAAGAAAGAAGGTAGCTTGAGAGTGTAAGGCTGCACAGCCCTCAGTGTACACCATGCACGGTGTTCTTCCTGACTCTGTCACCCCAGCACACCGCAGCCCAGTGTTTGCTGTGTTGGATGTTGTAGAAATAGCCATGTTACATACATAAGTGCTTGCCTCATAAGCTAACTGCTTGTTTCTGGCGGATAGGCTGTACCAGTGCAGGTCCTCATTTCAATCCTCACTCCAAGAAACATGGTGGCCCAGCGGATCAAGAGAGGTGAGCGGCATGCTCCTTGTACATGATGGTGGAGAGGCCACCTGGAAGACATACTGAGTGGTCTCCCTCCCTGCCTCTGCGTCTCCATCCCCAAGCGCTGGAATGGGTTATTTGGGGTAAAGGAGTTGACAAATGGGGACTCTTAATGTGATTTAGTTTTGTAGCATTTATTGAAGATGAATACAAGAGCCAAAAGGAACCAATACAGAAAATGTCAAGGATAACAGTGCTGTCAGTCACTAGCAAAGTAAATAAGTGTGTAACAGGTCACTAATGCAGATAATGAAAGCTAGTTGAGACTCCATTTATATGTGAACCCCCCCCAGGAAAGTTCTACATTTAAAGGGCTGCCTTGTTTTTATACTGGAGGCCTGGGAGCAAAGCTTTGCTAAGTATGCTAGCTCAGGAGCTGAGTTCATCCTTTGCTACAATCCCCAAAATGAGAAATATATCCCAGACCATGGCTCTTCTCAGAGCGTACTTTTGAAGTGTGTGTTCAGGGTGTCCTAGCTACCTGTTTTAAAATTGTTTGCAGACCTTTGTCAGTCTGGGTAAGGGGTCATATTTGGAGTGTGTTGTGTACTTCCTAATCCCCTGGTGGGTGTTGGACGGAGTGAGGTGTTACTTTAGCTCTGCTTGTGAGTAGACAGTGCTGACCCAGCTGACGTCTTCTAACGGTAGGCATGTTGGGGACCTGGGCAACGTGACTGCTGGGAAGGATGGTGTGGCCACTGTGTCCATTGAAGACCCTGTGATCTCTCTCTCAGGAGAGCACTCCATCATTGGCCGAACGATGGTGGTAAGTCATCATAGAACTCTGGCCATATATAGGACTTCTAACATGGTTATAATCCTTTCCATGACCTCATGGCCAAACTATCTAAAGAATCACATAAATTGTTAAAGAGCTCAGAATAGGAAAAAGGTTTTATTGGATATGACAGTGAAGAGTTAATTTGCCTAGGTCAGTTGAGAACACTGTTCTGCTGAGATGCAGTGGGAAGCAGGTTACATCTGATCAGGCTGGGTGGAAGTTGAACAAACAGTAGTCTTGAGTTTAAAACAGCCAGATTTTCTTGCCATGATTGCTCCCCTTACAGTTAAACATTTGTTGAGTGTAAAATCTGCGATGGATGTCAGTATTCGGGTCTGTAGGTTATCATCGCTTGGTTACCATATGGGAGCCGTCTTCCCGAGTTACGCTCGGGAGCTGAGTCTGGTTCTTGCAGAACAAGTAGTAAAGGCTCCTGCCCAGCTGGGGCAGTTGCCTTTTCAGTAGGCACTTCCTTTCAGTTGACCCTTTATCCTTAGAATTTTCTTCAGCCCTATTGGTGAAGCAGAACAGTCATTTATAAATGTTCTAAAAGTAAAATTTACAGTCTTGTTGCTAAGTAAAGATATTTAGAATTGCCTCTTATTTGTAGGTCTATAGTTCACTGATGTGAGATTTTGATAACAAAATTTGGGGGTGTGTATGTGTGAGGCTAAGATCAGCATATGGTCTGGTACAGTTACTTGGGTTGTTAGCATTTCATTTAGAAATAGCAACATTTACCTAGCATTTAAAGGTAACGTGTCTTTGTCACTAAAAGGAGAACTTAGTTGTCTGCTCCTAACTACTAGCATAAATATTAGCTTATTTATTTACTAATAGATTTGAACATTTTGTAATGTAAGTGGTCCTTTTAATTTTAAGTCTTTGTGGTATTGCTGGGAATAGGTGCTGATTACTTGGTTGCCCAAAGCTAAATGTTCTTAATTCTTTTCAAAGGTCCATGAGAAGCAAGATGACTTGGGCAAAGGTGGAAATGATGAAAGTACAAAGACTGGAAATGCTGGAAGCCGCTTGGCTTGTGGCGTGATCGGGATTGCCCAGTAAACATTCCCTGTGTGGCTGAGTCTAACTCATCTGCTCTCCTGCTAAACTGTAGGAAAAAACCATTAAACTGTAATATTAAAAGTATAACTGTGTGACTCCTCTTTGATTGATTTAAGGACTTGTAATGAGAACTGATTGATGATGCTCAAAGGTGTGTATAGTTTTATAACTCACTGAACTAAAACCAGTTTCCATGCATTTGTCTTCTGCCAGACTTAATTACACATGGGTATTACACTAAAGTTAATTCTCACTCAAGCCTATGAGTAAACATCATGTGTGAGACTTATACAAACAAAAATTTGAGGTTAGTGCTATAATTAAGCATCAACAACAGATTCAGGTGTTCCTAACCATGAGAATGTATGGCTAGTCTTGAATGTAGTAGCCCAAACCAAATTTGACCTTAGAAAATTTGTTGCCCTTTGTTAGTAGCTTCAGAGAAATTACCAAAAGCTCTCCATTTAGATTCAGAGTATCAGCATTTTAAAATAAAAATAAATATATTTAGATGTCATAATTTTAAAAGTCCCCTTAGTAACTTGCACTGGACTTGGAAAAGGCAACTATATCTTCTCAGCTAGCCATAGTTAAATTACTGCCTACTGTATTCTCCAAATGAGACTGGTGCTCTGGAAAACCACAGCAGCACCAGGGGGAGGGAGCACCAGGTTAGACCGAAGGTTCTAAATCCCGTCTTTGTAGCACAAGGTAATGAAATTGAGTGTCTCTTAATACATAAGTACCTAAGAGAGACTTCCTTTTAAAGGGAGTACTAGTGTGGTGATAACTTGCTTGTACAAGTAAAGCCTATCTGAAGATCAGAGAATGGAGCTTGCCACTAGCTAGCCATAGAAGTTTGGAGGTCTGTACAGGTGACTATCTGGAATAGTTGTCTCAACTGAAATGTTCCTGACAAGTCAGGTATGAGCCCTGCCTAGTCCTGTTCAATCATGAACACGTAATTTTCCAAATACAAGTCACTGGGAAACTGCTAAATTGGAAAAGGGAAAATTTTGGTGTTCCCAAGTTTTAAAACTGCTCATGAGGAATGTGTTCATAAATTTGAAGTTTGAGGTAAGCAACATGTCAATGAGACTAAGCAACTGGTGTAATCAAACCAGTTGTATTGTTTAGTAGTTCATTTCTTAGTACTTTTAGTTGGAAATGCAAGTCTGTCCTTGAAAGCTGGGCAATGGATAATCAGGTATGTTTTTGTTTCTCCTCGGAAGTTTTCTAGAGCAAGAACTTAAAAATTTCAGTAGGGTCAACATAAAACTAAAACTGGGACAGCTGTGGACATAAGTGTCCCCATCATCACAAAGACCTTGCACTTAAAACTCAAGTAAGACCATACAAAAAAATTCCCAGAACTCTAAAACTAAGCCAGTTTAGGAATTTTTTAACTTAGCATCTTGTGGTTTTAAAATCACATTTACTTATTTTTAGGGTATGTGTATGAGAGGAAAACAAGTTAGTGTTCTGAACTTGGGTCCCAGGAATCAAACTGAGGCCATCAGGGTTGGCAGAGTTTCTTTACTGGCTGAGTCATCTTAGTTGTCCTTTATTTTAGGAAAAAAACAGTAGCTCTCAACCTGTGGGTCAGAACCCCTTTGGGAGGTCCCATGTCAGATATTTATAATTACAGTTATGAGATAATAACGGAATAAATTTTATGGCTGGGGTCACCACAACACAAACTGTACTAAGGGGTTAGGTACTAAGATTGAGAGCTACTGTAAATACCAGACTGACTAAAATTAGCCCCTGACTCTGGACCACCGTGCTTTCCAATACTGTTAGTCTCAGTTTGGCTTCAAATGTAGTAACAAAAAGTGTACTTGAGCTGTTGGAAATGGTAAAGGTACAGGCAAAGCTGAAGACTGGTCACACTGTACCTAGTCTACAGAAAGCTTTCTGGTTGCATACATTAACCTTGACTTTTTTTTTATACCTTGGAAGTTTTAATGGGATAATTTGTAAACAATATATTCAACCTTCTAAATAACTACTAAACAGGTAATCTGTAGCATAATATGTAATGTTGGATTCTAATTATTTCCCCTAGTAAATCTGTTTACATATTAATTACAGCAACATTACCACAAAGCCAACAGGGAAAATGATCTGAACTGCAAATACAAGTTTCTTAGTTTAACAGTAAGACCACTAACCTTTACTTTATGATCAAAATATTAAAAATCAAAAGAATAAGACTTGTGCTGGCAAATACTACCTAAGTGTCTTTTTTTCCAGCAAAGAAGTCTAACTTAGACTCTAATACGTTATCAACAGCTCAAACTCCGATGGTTAACATTCTTTTCCACCTTTATGCAGAGTATGAAGAATAGCACACATTAAAGTTTGTTACGAAAATAGAGTTTATTAAAAACATCCCTATTGTTTGAGGAGCTTTCACCGTTACCTTGTCTTAAATTAAAAAAAAAAATAGAGAGCACTTCTAATTAGGATTTGTAAACTTTTAAAAGTCAAAACTTTTAAAAAGTTACAGCAAAAAAAGGGTAATATATCTTCAGTATTTTTGTTATTTTGTGGCTATTTTTAAATAGAAGGGAAGCAATCAAATTGCTTACAATCTCCACCAACTACTGTGGGACGATGCAGCAGGAGCAAATATTATACAGCATCTGTACACCTCAGCTCTACACCCAAGTGTCACTGTCACATTCTGTCAATGCAGTCTCTAGCGAGGAGCCTCTGCTGCTGAGCCAGAATCCTTCTCGGGTTCAACGGATGAGGTAGCCTCAGCAGGTGACTCTTCGGAAGGTTTTACCACTGCGGCCAAGGCCTCCCCCTTGTCAAGTTCTGAAACAGTGTCTACGCCTCCCACTTGGCTAAGGGGAGGTTCATTGGCTTTATTCCCGCCCGCCCTGTCTGTCAGCTCGTGTTTCTCCCTTCGGTTGTCTTCCTTCTCTCTACGGGACTCTCTATCTCTGGAATCCCTGTCTCTGTCCCGATGCCCACTAGAGCGTCTATTTCTGTCTTCCAAGTCTCTGTGTCTGTCCCGGTCAGGGCTCCTTCTTCCCCACTCTCTCCGCTCACGGCTACTATTCTCTCTATCATCATTCCGGTTCCCATACCGTTCCCGGTCATTTTCCACCCTATTTCCAAAAGATCTTCTTCCAAACCTTTCTTGGTCTCTACCTGAATTGAACTGCTGCCTGTTATCATTTCTAAACTGCTGAGGCTGCTGCGGCTGCTGCTGTGTTGGCGCTGGCTGCTGTGACGGTGGTGGCTGCTGTGGCTGTGACTGTTGTGGTGGCTGCGGCTGCGGCTGCTGCTGCCTTCCATCTCTGTCTTCTGGTCCTCCTGGGCCTGGCCCTGGGCCCCCAAGCCCTGGCATTCCGCCAGGCCTAACAAAGGGGCCGTGTGGTGGATAGGGCCCTTTCATTCCATGAGGTGGGGGCATAGCAAAGCCCCCTGGTCCTGGAGGTGGACCTCTGTGCATCATGTGCGGTGGCATGGGGCGCGGTGGCATCATAGGAAACCGCTGCAAGTGAGGTGGAGGCATCCCTGGGGGGCGCTGCAGTGGGATCAGGCCAGGTCTGGCACCAAGAAGACCAGTAGACGGTGCCTGGAGCCCAATCACAGGACCAGGTGCAACTCCTTGAGTGCCTGAAAGGACACAAATGAAAATGTAAACGTCTAATTTTAGCTGTCTCCCAGGAGTCATAAAGAAATACACAGTTCAGCCTGAATCAGTTTCACTCTGAATGCATGCGGAGCCAACCCTTTAGCCAGGGTAATGGATGGCAGACTCACTGTTTAGGCGCCCAGTACAGGCACAGACGGAGAAATACTCAAACTGTAGCCGCCTCTAGCTGCCTCCCCCAGAGGCTGTTTTACCAACACTTATGACATTTAACCGTATGCTAAGTCTCAATGAGATAAAGACCTGCATTCACTGGCAGCATGTCAAGACAGCAGGATGTGTTCTGTCAAGCAGAGTTTACAATCTGATTCTGTCTTATGTGCCTACTCTGAAGAAGAGGCCATAAAGCATCTAGTCAGCTTTCATGTTCAACTACTTCATGTAGTTATTTTGATAAAGATTCACACACAAAACTTGCTTTACATTTTTTTCTAAGCACTATTTGAAGAGTCATTTATCAGGTCAACATGGACTATGTGGAGTCCTCAGCCATACCCCTTCCCTCTTCTTCCGGTGATAGAGGCTGACAAAGCCAGTGCAGGTAAGTCCTACCTTCACTGTCTTCATTCCTGGCTCATAGGAGAGCCTGCTCATTCTGGTTCAAGATTTATGTAAGTTCAATTCAGCATTTACAACATCAGGGAAAACAAGGACTTGTTTTAGTTCTGATAAACAGGTATCAGTCATAATCTATTTGTTTGCAAAGGCAAAGAGCTAAAGTCACTCATCAAAAAGCTATGCTGATACTAGAAAAGGCTCCAGACGGTAACAGGTAATAGAGCAACAACTAATTATCACACCAAAGTACCACAGAAAAGCCTTTCAGAAAACTCTGGATTATGACAAGCTGACAATGGTCAGAAGTACCTGTGTGACAGAGTTGTGTCAACTTACAACTAGCAAGCCCTGCAAGTCCCCATGTTTTTTGTATGCACCAGTACTAAAGATGAACCAACATTCCTACTTCAGTTTTGAACCACATGTGAGCCAATGTTTGGTCAGCCTAAGCCATTCAATGTGTGAACACCAGCTTACAGTATTTTAACTCGGAGACTCAGCCACATATTCAACAACAAAGTCCGCTGGGTGCACAAAGATGAACACTAGTTTACCCCTTTTTTAAAAGACAGGGTTTCCCTGTGCAACCTTGACTGTCCTGGAACTTACTCTGTAGATCATATTGACCTCAAACTCACAGAGATTTGCCTGCCTCTGCTTCCCAAGTATTAGATTTAAAGATGGTACACCACCACTGCTCAGCTCGGTGTTAACTTTTAACATGTACTTAAGTGTTCCAAAAAGCAGACAGTAGCACCTGTAACTTAAAATATGACAGTTCAGTACCTGCTCAGGTAACGGGACACTATTGTTTAGTAAGGTGATATTCTAGGATTAAGCAGAACATTTCAAACCCATGTTCTTTTAACATCATTTATGCTTTAAAGTCAAGTTTAGTAGCTGAGAAGAACTTTGTTAAGTTGAGAAGCCCTGTGAAATGGGTAAATATGGCAGGGACTTTGAGAAGATCACCAGAAAACCCCAGACAATAAAAACGAAGCATCAGCTAGGCTAAGACCAATACTCAAGTGCTAAGAACTCAGACAAGCCTGAGACATCAAAATCAGACTCACACTGGGGACTGGGGGTCCTTAAGCACCACGCTGACTGTATGGAGGATGCAAGGCCAACTCCACATCATAGAAGGTGTCATCATGGATTTAAGCTTCCCATGCAGCACAAAGCAAAACACCTGCCTATTTCATACATGTGGGTGTTTCTATTTGGCATCTATTCTAAATATTAGTCAAAAATTTTTCATTTTGTCATCTGGGAAGATGTGTCAGATGGGATGTCCTCTTGGGGTATGGAGAAGCAATATCATTCATAGACCACATATACTGCTGGCCCCCAGACAACGGATAACTTCAGCTCCTCAGTTCCTTTAACTGCTGCTCTTCTTGCTGTTTTTTTTTTTTTTGCAGTAAAAATGTACTACTTCCATAATAAAGGATATAATTAAAAGTATATGGCCAGTCCTTTAACAGGCACATAAGTGATGCTAACTTTTGCTGCTAGGAAATCTTTTAGGCTGGCATTACACACCAGTGAAATATAAGAGATCTGTTGGTCAGAATTAGGTTTATCTAGAGTAGGCTAAGGTTTGTAGTTACAAATTAAATAATTACTACACTAAAACTTTACTATTATTCTTTAATATTTGGGGATTAAAAACAAATCTTCCTATTTCTCTTGCTACAGATGGTACAGCCAGATGGTTAAGAAAGGGTTGGACTGACAATGTGTGGATCTGAGTAGATCACAGAAGAGGCCTGGGTTGGATCTGAAGGACAGGCAAAAAAGAAAAAAAAAATAAAACCAAAAAAACCAGTATGGGTAGTGTAGGGTGTGATGGACGGGAGGGAGTTGGTAACTTTTAAAACAGCTTAGTACTCCAGTGGGTGAACTGTTCAAGGGGCCTGCCGTAGGATGGCCTCAGGTGCAAAGGGAGGAGACCCTACCTACAACCAGGTGGGTCAAAGCAACAGACGGGCCTTGAATGACACGATAAAGTACAAGTTCCTTCCCTAATTGATGGAGGAAGCCAGGGTGGGATCCCGAGCACATGAATGATCCTTTCTGGTAAGTGGTGTACGGAAAGCAGAGGTCAGACTGTTAGTTAGGTTCCTACCCCCAAGGATCTTCGTGACGAAAGGCTGGTCTAGGGTAGGTAGGAGACACACGGAGGACAGCTGGTGGGCAGGACGGAGATCTGGGATGAAGAAACACAGATCGCTACACAGATGAAGGTGTCAATGTAAGACGGAAAATGCAGAGAACAATTTTAAGAGATGGAAGAGAGCTGTCCTATTGTAGCAGCAGGTGATCAACCATGTGATATGTGAAGAATCCTGTACAAATGGGGATCAGCCAAGCAGAGCTGAATATTAATACTGGCCAATATGAAACAAAAAAGTTCAGAGCTGGGGAGGTAACACATCACACACACTTAGAAATTTCTAGGAAAACAAGGTTAGGGAGCAGGCTGGAAAAAAAAAATCCAAATGCCTGCCTGTAATCTCAGAATACAGAGGCAGAAGGATGGTGGGCTCCAGGCTAGCCAGGGTTATACAGCAAGACTAGGGTGACGTGGTGGTGACAAACCAAAAACAATTATTACATAGCAGTTAAAAAAACAAATTGGCCAATTTCCCAATGGTCCTCAAAATGGCTGCCTCACAATTAACTTCCATGGAGATACTCCCATGGCAGAAGAGATCCATGGAAAGGCTAGGGGACGGACGTCAGGAGGTTATTCTCAGACTGAAATCAGACAATGTGAAAAGGAAACATATAAACACCAGGGCTTTCAGCTAGGCCCACACAGAACAGGAGGCAGAAACGAGAACAGCAGGGGTATCCCGTGCAGAGCTGAGGGCCAGAGGCACGGGCACAACTCTGCCCCTACTCCTCTGCTTGGCCAGTCTGTCCTTCCACAGCAGGTAACGGAAGCTTCATCACTGCTAATGAGTGCATCGCTCAATTCCATTCCTAACTACCCTGCCCATGTTCCCCCGAGACTTCACCAACCTCCTCCCATAGTCCTAGATTCTCATCATAGCTTCCTGGAAAATCCCCAACATCGGTTTGACATTTTCAAAAATGTATGGTGCTGGGGACTGATCACAGGGCCTCACACTGAGCTACACCTTCACCCCCAATACTTACTCTAATCTGGGCCCGAGCATGGCTGCCAGCTCCCACAACCCCAAGCATACTGACTGCCCCTTAAGAAACTTTTTAGCTACAGAACACATGTGTTTCTCTCTGACCAGCAAGCTTACATTTTCCCAGCCAAATCACTCCTACATCCAAGGTTATCTATTTCATAGATTAATGCTTCTCCTTAGTCTACTATCTGCCTGGCTTTAAGACAACTTTTGTAAGATAAGATTCCGCGTCCTATAATGTGCTCATACAAACACTTCAATGGTTATCCTTAGAAGGAAGCCTGCTCTGATAGCCATCATTTCCCCCTCCCTCAACCCAGCCAGCTTTTTAAAATTTCTGTGAACGTGCCTGTTAACCAACATTAAAAAGAAAAAACAAAAACAACAAAAAAGGAATCATACAATACGTAGTCCTTTGTTGAGTGGCTCCTTCCACTTGGCATTTCTCCAAGGCTCATCCAAGTCGTGCAGCATGAACAAGTACTCATTGTCAAATAACCTTCCATTTATGACCACACCATTGCTTCACTGCACTTGCTTTCTGTAAAACCACCTTTTGATACTTTCCCACCCAGCCCTCAAACCTTCAAAATGTACTCAACCTGTGTCAGCTTCACGCCTGTCTGTGACGTCACAGGCCTTTGCCCCGATTGCTGGATCCACTCTTCTCCCTACTGTACAATACCCTCCCCTTCTTCTCGTACTAGGTTCTCCAGAATAAAAGGGAAGTCCCTTTCTCTGCCATCTTCTTTCAGCATTTACCCCCATGAATCTATACAAAGCAATGCTCCCAAGGGATTAAAAAAATCTACACCCCTTCCTCCACTCCACTCCCATTCTCTCCCGTCCCTGTATCAGGATTCGAAATGCATCATCCCAATCAATCCTTTCTTAAGGCACCAAGAGCCTTCTGTTTTGTTAAGGGATGCTGCCAGGACTCAGCACGTAAGCTGCTGAGACTCATCTTGTTATAGCCTCCATTGAAGGTCCTCTCGCTTCTTCCACTTCCCGGTTTGAGGGTTATATCCACGAGCCACCATACTCAGGAGTCTTGAGCCAACAATGGCACTTGGGGACTCATGTCTTCCCCCTTTGCTCTTGCATCATGTGTCCTGGCCCACTGGCTAAGTCTTCTCTCTGCCCTCTGCTGGACAGACTAGCATATGGGTGGCTAAATATCAGGCTCCCAATGGAGCAAGGTTACCTTGACTTTAATCCCATCGATTGTAGCCATGTGGACTTGGGAGCTTACTTCTTTCTCCCTTTGCTTCAGTTTCTCCAGCAACTGACTAATGCATACCAACGGCTTAGAAACCCCGCCAAATACAAACATATGTCCTGTAGCTATCAGCATCTATTTCCAACTGTGAAATGTTTTAAATATTACAGGGCTATGCCCACTTCAACTGCTTCTGCAGACCTGTGTGACATCCTTACCTAATGTACATGAATATGAGTGTATCTCCCTAGAGTATCCAGTGTGCTGGGCATGTGCACCCACGCATCAGAGTTAAAGCACTGAGCAGAACCCACAAGCTCTGTGCACCCCTGAAGGTTTGTGCATTTCCAGAATGACCAAGTCTCAGCTCCAACTGCACATGTACAGCGACAAATGTACACATTTGATGCTTTTCATAGTACATACTTAAAACTGGGGCAGTCCTGAAGGGCCTCCCTTCAACACGCATTCAGGTCACAAATGGCAGTACCATCCAAACGGGGCTGCTGCTCTCTTCCCAGCTCCCGCTCTGCTCCTTATACAGCAGCCTGTTTCATAACCCACAGCTCCCCATCAGGTCAGGGTCCCTGGCACTGCTCTGCTCCAGCCCGTGTGGTTCCTCAGGGAACAGCTGCTTCTTAGTGCAGGTTCTCACTCGCTGGTGTGCCTGAAACGCCAAGGCTCAGTACTTACGTGGCTTATTTTCCTTTCTCCTCTACTCAGGGTTCTTTCTCAAGGCTACTTCCTCCAAATGCCCTCTGGTCATCTCACTGATAGTGAGCGGCACATCTCAGCATCTCAGCGTCTTCACCCCCTAACACACCTCTACTTTCTTCTCTCTTCACTGGTGAAGGGCTCCATGTGATAACATTAGTTTACTTATTATCCAAAGGAACAGACACCAGAGACAGATCTCGTTTTGTTCATTCTGCTATCTTTAACACCTAAAAGGGCACTGGTACAGAGTAGGCTCAGGAGACATGGACCCTGAGCAACAATGACACTTGAATGGTGGTGTCGGAGGTGACGAGCAATCCCATCATGATGACGACACCCCTGAGGACAGTAGGGGCTATGGACCCCAATCTTTTCAACACAAACCTGGGAGGGCCTGAACTTACACTGCATTTCTTTCTTAACATCTTGTTCTTAATTGAAATTGGCTGTCACTGTTGTTTTTAATTTGATCAACAGAATGGTCACTGTAGTATTTTCATGGGTGGGTTGTCCTCCACAGAAGGAAAACATCTATTAGCCATTCATTTCTTCTTTATTTGTACTGGTGGGACTCCAACCAAGGAACACACAAGTCAAGTGTCCTGAACCACATCTCCCTCCAGCCCACTACCAATGACCCTTAACTCCTCAACCAATGCCTTCTGATCTGCAGGCAAACATATAAATATGTATTTAACCAACCAATCCACAAAAGGCATTTTCTGTTTTTGATGCCCTACTTCAGAAAACTGACAAACAATACAATTGACATTTGGTTTCACCCCTAGGTTTGCCAATTCATGGTATTTCTGAACATTTACTTTGAGAACACTCCAGGCAACATTCACAGTGGATTGTGCTAGAAGCTGGTGAAAACTTAGGGAGTCCACTGTCAAGAACAGGAGAAAGCACACTCCATTTGCTGTTATAAACAGGATCCCTTATTCACTACCATGGGATCTCTCAGAGAAACTGAGTATGTAACAGTATCCAGGGGATACTGGTATACTGACGTCTTTTAGCAAAAGACACACCAATATAATTGGTTCAAGAATTTTAAATGAAATCCAATTATCAGTCATCTTTTAAAGACGCCTTGGAATTTTTTTTAACAAAATAAAACACAGTAGATTTTGTATAGCTAATTAGCCTACACCATTTAAAAATACTTTTTAAAATCATTGTGTGCTACTTGCTAAGTGCTTTATGGCAACCAATAGACACAACCATGACTTAGAATGGAGAGTTTCATTACTGGCTAGTAAACTTGACACTCACAGTTAACTTCTATTAGTCAAAGTAATTGTCTGTAGACAGATTTTTTTAGTGTCAGCTAAAAGAGTCTTACCTGAAATTCTTCACAGCAATATCTGTGTCTCCCAGAACCTCTAGATTCCCAGGTTTCTGTCCTCCTACTCTACTCAAGATGTCCCACAGAAACAAACCGAAAGGCTCTCTTCAGGCTAGTGAGCAGTACCCAGAACTTCCTAATGACAGCCTCAGGAGACATGGAGACACTGTTCAAGCACTAGGAGGTGTCACACTATAGTCTCCTCATGTTCTCTTTGAAGTGCTTCACTTTTGAGATAACATTGTATTCATGCATAAATTCATATCCTAGGCAAATTTCTGTTGAGATCAACTATTACTTTTGCATTATCCACTCCACCCACTGGGCAACATTGTAGATATTAATCTGAAGACACTGTAAGGAATATTTCAAACCATTTCTAGGTGACACTAGTGACTAGTGGAACAATACACTGTAATGTTTAGAATACCAGTTCTTGTACTTTTAAAGCTTTCTAAAGAACACTCTTATAAGACAATGTCAAGAGGCTTTCTGGTATATCTTTCTAGCTTGGAATTTAATGTAACCATACTAAAGTTCAGTATAAAGTACTATAATGCATTGTTTTTAAAAACTAGGCATTATTCTTTAAAAAAACAAAACAAAACCCTATAATGCCTCTAACTTTGATTTTTAATATTATGACTGGTATGCAACTAGCAGATTGGTGCTCCAATATTCTAACTTATATGCTGTTTAAATTACTAGCTATAAAAATTATAAATTCAAGACAGAGACTGAACAGCGAAATCCAAAGCTAAACCATCAGAAATTAAATACCATATTGAAACAATTACCGAAATTTTATCTCCTAGGCATGGTTTTAGGGCTCCTAACTTAATGGTAATATAAAATCATAGGTACTTCAATATACTTTATAAAGCAATCTTATCTTCAGTTTTTCCTGGGTGCCCTAGTCCGAGATCAACTCAAATGCCTGCTGAAGCTATGTAGGAACTAAAGTGTACCAACCATGGACCAGCAACTCCACTAATAGGCCATCAAGGAGTGTGTGAGTCTTGCTTTAAAACCGCCTGTGACTTTATGGCAAAGAAAAAGTAACCTTCCATTTGTAAGATTATTCTCAGAAGTAGAATTTTATTTGTAAACTTCACCATGTGCAGCAGTGTGACAAAAGCAGGGAAGGTGAGAAGGTGACAATCTCTTCGTTTGATAATTAACAAGTGCACATGTCAGGAAGCAACTTCACTTCCCAGAGGAGTTCACTCCACCTGGCAGCTTGTGTCTGAAACACACTCTGGATAGATATCCTTGTAACACAGGACAGATAGGTAACACAAACAAACATTTTTTGTGTACTTTTTTATTGTTTGGAACACCAAAGTAACCCAAACTTTACATTTACAATTAATGTTTTAATAAATACGCTGTACATAATATTAGCAATACATAGCATACAAGGAATTTGAAAGGCAAACATAAATGCTCATACAATCAAAGGATGAACTGCATCGCTACTATGTTCTCTCCTAGATGACTGACAACTGTAGATGTCATCTTTAGCTTTGACAAAACCACTACTGGTTTCAGCTACTTTGGCCCATGAGGTGCTAAACAGTGTTCTTTAAAATCTAGTAATAATAATTTAAAAACATGGTAGAAGCTTGTGTCCCTCCAAATTCAGTGTTTTGGGGGGAGGGTGGCAGGCACCTCAGCTCAGCTCTAGGACAGGCAGTTACCTCCAAACTTAACACCCACACTTAAGTCTGAAGACAAAAACCTCAGCAGCCCCAAGCCTCCACTCCTTTCCCTTTACAATCGGTCCTCAGTGTGGAATTCTGAGCTGCTTAACATTTGACAGACTCGTGCCACTTCATAACTACTGGCACACACTGGAAATAACGTGTCAGTCACGCACTGCAAGAAAACTATTCAGCATCTACTACGGAAAGCCCTTCAGTGCCGGGTTGTGTTAGTAAGGAAATTGCTGCTATGATTTAACATTAATAATGGGACTCGATTGCTTGTGATCTGGTCTTACCATCCTTAGAATGCACAAGCAGCTACACAAAGCTGGTTGTTCTCTACTTGAGAGCAAACACGAGCTTACAATGCATTGGAGCCCAGAAGTGTCAGCACAGACTGTGGAGTCAAACACTTCTCTACAGGTCCTGAGCACAGCTCTGGTGTTTCTTACCTGTGATAGCACCCACTGTTCACTAAACGCCTCCCAGGTGACAATTTTGTATGCTAGCCACCGAATCGCCACCATACCCTGGTGTGTCGATGCCATCAGTATCCCCTTTACAGACGAGGAAATGAGACTTCATCATTAGCCTCTAGGTTTAAGGTGTTCTGGTCAACACAGCATCTCCTTCTACAGACTTACAGAAAACATTAGAGCACCAAGAAGAGAGGGAGCACCTACTCTCCATGCTCCCACAGGAGGACTAACAACACCGGCACCCAGCTTCCGATCCACTGTGATACCATAACGTCATTCTTGCATTCCTCAAAGTGGTGGAACTGTGATTTTTTTGAATAAATTTTCCTTTATTTGCACACACACAAAAACAAAAACAACAACAAAGAAAAACACCTCACTTAAAAAAAAAAAAGGAAAAGGCTCACCCCTCTCAAGTAGACAGAGGTATGTATGGGTGAGCACTATTGAAATTTACTGGTATGTCCAAGGAATACGGCATGGGTCGGATTCCTTTTTGATTCTTGTGACAGGTGACAGTGTGAAATGGCAAGTGAAGGCAAGAGGGGAATGCTGGAATGGTGGGAATGTGAGGGGCAGTACCACTACGCCACACACAGGACAGGCCTTGGAATGAGCGCAATGGCAGGCAGTCCAGGGGAGAAACCCATTCACCTCTCGCAAGGGCTTTCTTTACTACAATGTAAAAATGATGTCAAGGACATTTTCATATTAAACCATTGTAACAAGAAGAAAACCAAAACTCATTTCTCTGAAAGGTCAAGATTTACGTGACCATCTTTTTTCAAGAGTGAGACAGGGACTCACTACGTAGCTCAGGCTGGCTTCCAACTCAAGATCCTTGGACCTCAGCCTCCCGAGTTCTTGGAACACAGTGCCACAAGGCCCAGCATGTTTCCAGATGTCTGACTGAAGTCACACACAAGATTTTCCTTCTGTTAACTGGAACTAGACTATTCCATGTTAGTTTAAAGTATTTACTTTAATAAAATAGTTTCCACTGTTATATCAAATTCTAAACCTTCCATTTTCAGATTTTGATTTAAAAGTTATAGACACAGATAATGAGAAGCGAAGAGCCCCACATTAAAAGCTGCTTGCTTACCTATCTCCACCTCCCTTATGGAAGCACTGATCTCTCCTGACCTCCCCCCTGTGAGGTAACGAGAAGCATGCAGGGAGACTCACTGTTCTTAGTGCTAGGCATACCAAAGTCACTGCTTAAGTGTATCAATTTTGATTTGCTTCATGTACTCACTCCAAACAGGACACTTACAATCAGTGCCTACCAAACTCTTGGAGATCATGGAATCTTTCTACTCATCCAGTGAAGTTGTGAAGACCAAATGCCAAATGCACCCAATTTTCTAGGAGCTTTAGGGAGCCTAACAACCATGCACATTAGACAAGATTTGTTCCAAGCCAGAGACGTGTACAGGAGGAGAGGATGGAGAGGAGGGGCGGGTTAGAAAACTGCCCTGACTCAGACTCTGAGATCCTTGTGCGGCTATATTAGAAATACAAAAGAAGCTGTGGCCCAGTGAGGTCTGGCAATGTTGGTGTGCCTTGTTCCCCAGTCCAATGGTGCTTCCGTACCATCCCCAAACACTGAACAATCATCTCCCCAAATCCTTCGCTAACAAACATCCTTCCTCTGTGTAGTAAGGAAATTAAGAGTAAATTATCATGTGCACAAAAGTGCAGCCCTAACTTCACCATAAAAAGAGATTAGCATTTTTACTACTTATGGTGTACTTGCACAAAGCAAAAAAAACCTTCAATACAGAAGATTTTGGTGTAAAGTTCTCTACCTGAAACCAAGGTCCCACAATCCTACACCTCAAGTCAGCAACAGATTCTTTCCTAAAACAATGCTGGAGTCTGAAAGCAAATGTACACACACACACCTACCTACCTCTGAAAACAAAATGGACTCACACTCAGAAGTAGTAACTTCCCATTAGGACAAACAAATGTTAATTATACTTGGGATTTTTAACTTGATAGACGGTCTATCATAAAAGCTGTGATGTGCTCAGTGCAACCGAAGCAAACCAGAGTACACCCTCCTGAGGAGGGCTGTGAAGCCTAGGCTGCAAACCAGAGTACACCCTCCTGAGGACGACTGTGAAACCTAGGCTGCAAACCAGAGTACACCCTCCTGAGGACGACTGTGAAACCTAGGCTGCAAACCAGAGTACACCCTCCTGAGGACGACTGTGAAACCTAGGCTGCAAACCAGAGTACACCCTCCTGAGGACGACTGTGAAACCTAGGCTGCACCTCCCTGCCTGCAGCGATGAGGGTGTGGAGAGGAACAACTTTATCAGCAGAAAACCCAGGAGCCAGTGAGAATGGCCTCAACTAGACCTCAACTGTACAACGCTCACAAGAAAACAACAATTCCTGTTAGGATTATCACAGGTGATATATTTGCCAGTCTATGTATTTTTAGAAAAACTTTCAAAGTCCAGGAGTTTCAGATGGATAAGGACAGAGAAACATCTATGAGGACCAGCTGCTAGAGCTGAAAGTCTGGAATCATGTTAAGAACATGTAACACTTCCTGTCATAGAAATTACTTTAATCAAACTTTTGTATCAAATTTACATGTGCAGATGGGAATGTTTGATTGAAGACAACTAGGCCATAATGCCACCAGGAAGATGTCTCCTGGTACAACCCTTAAGATCGTCCTCAAAAAAACACTGCCATGGGGACTACTTTGCAAAAATTCATATTATTTTTAAAAAGCCAAACTTGAAGGGGGTAAAAACTAACAGTAAAAAAATGATGAACTTACCAAGAAGTGAAACAGGCTGGGTTACAGGAGGGGTGGGCAGATTCGCAGGTGCAGCAGGTGGCACAGCAGAGCCATACATTTTCGCGCTGTCACCAGACTCGGCGTTTCCTCTAGGCCCAGACACCACTGTTGGAATGGGATTTCCAATAGATAAGTCTTTTGTAGTGTCTTCATTTATACCAGCGATAGTAGCTAAGGAATATAATTATATTGACATGTGAAGCTGAGTAATTAGTTATGGTCCCGGTCAGCAATCTTTTAACCAGTCCTCAGACCCTACTATGTGCTCACGTTCCCTCCTACCCCAACTCCAACTCATCAAGCCAACACAGAGGAAAGACATGCTTACAGTTTGGGATGTTTATTGGTGGGGTGTGAGGAGGAGGAATGGACACTGGTGGAGTTATAGGAGGTGGGGGTCCAGGAGGAAGAAAGCCTGGAAGAAGAAAAATCAGGTCACCTCCTGCCACGCCAGTTAGTCTCAGAGCCTCAAACAGTCCTCTCAATCGAGTCAGTGTACCTGGTGGTAAATGCATTGGGTTGAATCCTGGGCGCAAAAATGGTGGTGGAGGAGGAGGAGGAGGAACCCCAGGGCCAAAGCCTGGCGGGGGGATTCCTAGGGGAGGTGTGAAAGCAGGCGGCTGCAGAGCACCAACTACAGGGGGGCCCGGCTGATGAGGTGGGACCTGCAAAGAAAGCCAGACACAGATCTAGCCGCTCGCAAGAACAGCGCATGTGCACCAAGAAAATACACGCGAGCGTTGACAATTATACTACGTTTACTACGTTAAACAGATGGTAGCAATCTGTGCCTACCTAAACGCTATAAATCTAAGCTCTGCTTTCTCCTGTAAGATGGCCATTCACACTGTATTTCACTGGCATCCCCGGGTGTTCTGACAGCATGTGAGACATTTGAAAATATCCCAAGGCTGAATTTTTTTTTAAAAACTGGGAAATACAGGTCCAAGAAAGGATACCTGGCAATTTATGCAGTAGGTCAAGGCAACAATCCTAGAGTCAAATTGTCTGTACTGCCTTCGTGGCTATTAAAGCTTTCTAAACTGGGAACATGCCAACTTAAAATAAGTATGAGGTTAAATGAGTTCATACACTGAGCCAGATACAGTGGCTCACGTTGTCCCAGCACTCGGGAGACTGAGGTAGAACAATGCAAGTGAGCGGCAGCCTGGGATACATGGAAGACACTGTCTTGAAAACCAACAATGACAAACAAAAGGAAAAGAGAAAGGATTCCCTTTCTACAAAGCACCTGGGACTTGGGTAGGCACATCTGACTTCAAAATACAGTAACTCCTGAAGAATCAAAGTCTAACAGGAAGCAAAAATAACAGTGATTCTGGATTTCATATCTAAGACATTATAAGTCAGGGCACTGAGTAATCCATACAACTTGTCAAACAGTCTAAAATTATTTGTTTTATTAACATTTATGAAAATGTTGGCATTTAATAATATGGCCATTTATTCACTTTTTAGACAGAGCAGTAAGACTAAAGCAATCTTTCAGACTCTCAAGGTTAAATCATGTTCCCGCTATTCCTACCTGTGGAGGTGGCACTGTAATAGGAGCAGGGACAGGGATAGGAGGGACAGGCACAGGCAAAGTCTTAGGGACAGGCGACACGGGCTCCGTGTGGGAGGCCTCTGCACCTCCATTTTGGGCAACTTCATTTTCAGACTTCTTGGGGATTCCCTTCCACTCTATGAATTATAGAAACAGAACAAGAAACATTTGCTATTTTCACTTACAACTTTAAATATAGAAATGAAAATTGAGGATCAGAAAATATTAGCTTCATTAAAGAAATGTCTATGCTAATTTTAGCAATTATTTAGATTAACAAATAACAACAGAAACACGTCAGCAGAATGGATGGATACAACTGGACATGTCCAGTTCTAACGCCTATATTCTCAGTCACCCCAACACTAAAAGGTCATGTAGACACCCTTCCCCCTCTTTCAGTATCTTCTAGGCAAGTAAGACATTTTGTATTCTGGGCCTTAACTGATTAGTAACTTTCTGTCTCCTCAATGAAACCTCCTAGGACCCTGACTTCCAGGTTCCACCTTCTCACCCTGGCCAAAAGTGCACTCTAGGTGTGGCAGGCTCATGGGCCTGAAGAGAAACCTAGCTCCCTCCAAGTGAAAGCACCATACCCCCTTGGTTGTCACGCTTGGTAAACATCCTTCATTCCCACCACAGTCTTATTACTACTAGCTTGGCACTCACAGTATTTTATCCACAAACAACTCCACTTCCTGGTCTAATGCACGTGTGTGTCTTCTCTGGACAGAATTACCACAAATATCTGGGCTCAAAGCGCGTCTTTAAACACTGGTATGGCATCTCTAATCAAAGAGCCCGAACCCTGAGAGGCTTCTGGTACTCAGAGTATTCTGCATTTGGGGGCATTTTCCAATGCTCAGTCTGTACCAATGACACACAACTGGGGACTAAGTGGTCTGTTTTCAGAGCAAAGCTCTAATTAATAACGAGTCTCACAGTCAGTATTTTACCAGTGTATTTCTCTCGCTAATTGTGTTACACAGAGAAAGGTCACCGAATCCTCAATTTACAAGAGACTAGCTTATACAGGGAACTTTAGCTTATACAGGAACTTACACTGATTGTCACATGACCACGAGCTGCGAAGGAAGTTAAACCCTGTCTTACCTGGGTTAAGTGTGTCACTGTCCAACATTCCGCCTTCACAGAAACTCTCCAGCTCCTCAGGTTTGACTTTGTCCCACGGGACATAAGTAACACCCAGTTCAACATCCCAATACTGCTTATAATCTGCCTTTATTCCTTTGTTTAAGGCCCAGGCAATCTATAACCAGTGAAAATAGACAAAGAAAGGAAAAGAAAAGTTGATCATCAGTCTTCAGAGTTCACCATTCCCCATCACCCTACTCATCAGGACAAGGCAGCAGGGAGCAACCTGGACGGCTGCCCCGGATATAGTGAGACTTTCCTCGATATGGGATTAGTGGTTCTCGTCTTCCCACTTTGCCTTAGGACCCAGCACAGTCAGGATACTAGAGTAAGAACAAGTTCACCAAGGAGAAGCACGATACATAGGGTACTTTTCAAGGTCTACAGATATGGCAACATCTTTTGATAGCACACATCAGGGTAGAACAAGGTGCTAACGCAGGGCAACAATGAAATGGACTCCTCAAAGGATGGCTGTCTGTGTGCTTGCATTTTATTTGATATTTTTAACACTTAATTCTAACAGGAGAAGACAAAATTCAAGTTGTAGAATAGCTACATTTTTTTATAAGAGAATATTTTACTAGAAAACATCATCTTTAAAGCTAGATAGATGTGCTATTTATCACATGCTGTAATCCCAGTACTTAGGCTGTGGATGGAGGAAGATCAGGAGTTCAAGGCCAGCCTGGGTTATATGTTTCTAAATAAGTAAACACATAAGTAAATAAATAAGGTGGCTGGAGGCATAGTTAAGTGACAGAGTGCTTATGTAGCCTACATTAAGACCCTGGTTAAATTCCTAGCACTTTAATTAAAAAAACAAAACAAAACAAAAAAACACCTTATCAAGGCTGGAGGTTAAAGCCAGATAGGGTGCCAGCACTGAGATAGGGAAGCAGACACACGCTCCCACCTCTAACCAAGACGACACTTGCAAATGACATCTTCTTACAAAGGAAAGCCCTTCCCAATGGAGTCTTTGGGGACAGTAACTTCAGTGTAGGCTCCATGTCCAGCAGTGGATTGTTGGGCCTAGAAGGACCCTGCAGTGGATGGTCAACACTAAACACACTGGGTTTGGGAGGAGGGAGGTGGGCTAGATTGTCTTCGGCTGTTTTGTTGGGGGGGGCACTCTGTCTCCTTGCTCTTTTCTGGGGGGGGCACTCTGTCTCCTTGCTCTTTTGCTTGTGTGTTTTGTTGGGGGGGCGCTCTGTCTCCTTGCTCTTTTGTGGGGGGGCACTCTGTCTCCTTGCTCTTTTGCTTGTGTGTTTTGTGGGGGGGGGACTCTGTCTCCTTGCTCTTTTCTGGGGGGGGGCACTCTGTCTCCTTGCTCTTTTGCTTGTGTGTTTTGGCTTCTGCATTTGTGGAGTGTGTGATGTTTCCCCTTTCAGTTGTTGCTTGTTTTTTAAAGAGAGAGGGCAGTATGAAACTGGGGGGTGGGAGTAGGATCTTGGAGGAGAAAAGTTTAATCAGAATACAATGCATGAAAAAACTTACAAAAAGAAATTAAGGAGATTGTCAGTAAAATTATGTCAACCAATGTGTGATTGTTTTTCAGGAGGCTTTTATGCCTCAAGCCATCCCCAAGCAGCAAAATTATATTTAAAACTAAAACAAAACATCCCATATAATTCTACACTAAACCCTTTTATAAATGATAAAAATGTACCTTTATGGATTTTTGGTTCACTTTATAGTTTCCCCGGCTCAGTTTCTGCAGGGCACGGTATGCATCTTGTCTATGAACCATAACAATATAGGCACAACCCCTGGGAGGAATCATCTGTTCAAAATATTTCAGTATTATAAACGCAATGACGAAAACAAAACATGATGATACAGATGCCAGCACCCCCACCACCACATCCCCTCTTACTGGTGCTGTCTAGCCCAAGGCAAGCAACTGAGCACTTGCAAGAATGTACAGAGCTGAGCCCCAGCACCACCACCAAAGACAGACCTGGAGGGTTAAACTCACTCAAGTTGGACTTTGACTAAATTGTACAAATTTTGGTACAGACTTTTCTAGAAAAATAGTATAACTTAAACATGGCTGTCCAAGAAACATCAACTGCCAAGAATGTTAAGGTGATGAGGAACAGCGCAGCCTGCAATTGCCTTCCACAAACCTATGCACGTTCTACCTCAGGGGGCAAGGCCTCAGTCACAAAACACGACTGAGCACATCTTGCTCAGCACCCTCAGGGAAATAAGTACTCACATTAATTGATTCAATTGGACCAAACTCTTCTAAGAGACTGGCAACATCTTGCTGAGTAGTCCTTTTGTCCAGCTGTCCCACCCACAATGTGGTACTACAAACTGAAAATAAATTAGTGATCAGAACACTCATTTCATCCCAAGCAGCACAATGTGACATTACAATGCCAAAAACTTAGTTTATAGATTATATAAATGTAAAGAGTTTAGAAAATTAGGTATTTAGAAATAAAACCAGCACATAAAAATTGGAAAACAATGGTCTCTTTGTGACTAGACCTAAAAATGCCCATGAAAACCCAGGCTGTAATAACAGCGACTTGCCCATCACTATCTGCCAGCAAAGAGGATAACAAGGACTGTTGCTAAGCAACCCAGCCATCAATGTGTAAAGTTGTCCACTTCTAACCTGAGTTTCTTTTTATGGTGTTTCCTATGTGTGGGCCACTCTTATGAATTAAATTGAAATCTTCCTACTATATGTTCTAAACATGATGAAAACCCAGAGGTAACACGAGCAAAGTGGAAAGACACCGCGTGTAAGAAGCAATGAGAGTACGGTGCCCGAGAAAGACAGGAGGAAATGCTGTTCAGAATAAAACTCACCATGATGATAAGGGTTCGTTTATGGCCTTGCTAACAGTCACAAAACATCTTAAACCCACGACATGACAAAGCCATGAAGAAGTGTGAAGAAAGGTTCGTTACTTACCACTTGCAGTTTCTGACTTGATCTGAGGGAGGCCTTTCTGCCGCCGTTCCCTCTCTTTTTCTCGGTCCCTTCTTTCTTGAGATCGAGACCGAGGCGAGTGCCGGCGCCTGTCCCTGGACCGGGACCGAGATCGTCTGTGGCGGGATCTCCGAGACCTAGAGCCAGATCTAGATCGTCTCCTTTTTGGTGACCTAAAACGTTTCATCAAGGAGATGGGTAGCAAAGAGAAAAGGGAAAGATGTGCATATTAAGTTGAAAAAAAAAATAGGTAAGTGAACCAAGAAACAGGGAACTCATGGATATAATTTATACAGAGTAACTATGGCTGGACCACTTGTAACTGTACTCCGTTTAGTATCTCTAACACTATCCAAATCCCATCTCCATGGTTAGGAAGCCGGTCCTCAGAGCTGGAAACACTGCTGCTACTATAACTTCTTCTTCTAAGAATGTCTTCTCTTCAGCAACTAAAAACACACTTCAACTGTGACAAAACTACGACATTTCCACTTCTGTTGGTAACCCTGAACATACAACTCCTATAAAACCAGACTCATAGGTACTAAATCGAATCAGATGACATGTAGGTAAAGTGCTATTTTACTTTTTGGGGATCTTTTTTAGACAGTGTCTCATGTATACCAAGCTGGCCTTAAACTTCTGATGCCCGAATGCTGGGGTTAAAGGTATACACCACCAGACCATGCAGTGCTAATGACTGAGTGCAGTACTTTAGGCACACTACGTAAGTACTCTACCAACTAACAACTCCAGATGGACTAAACAACAAAATAAAAAATAAACAGTCATTACTTTTGATACCTTCTCTTTATGTACCAAGTGATACCCAGAAGGTGGGGCAGATGGACTGCTCTGAGTTCAAAGCCAGCCTGGTCTACACACTGAGTTCCACGCCAGTGAGATCCTGTCTCAACATAAAAGCGAAGAAAACAGTGTGACCGGCACCTCGGTCTCCTCAGACACAGAGCTGTGGCTCTCCTGTGAGTTACCTGGATGCTGACCTAGATCTTGACTTTCTGCTCTCAGGAACGTGTCGCTTAACCTCCGGGACACAAGGCTGTTCTACTTCCATTTCCTTTGAAATAAGTAAATAAATAAAAATTAAAAAGATCAGAAAAGGAGACATCTGGAAATCATGGCAAAAGGCCACAATCTTAGAAATACTAATTTTCTGATTGGACTAAATAATCACTAGCCACCACTGAAAGAAAAACAAAACTTCTCATATGGTATGCAAACTAAGGGGAAAGATTCTGCTTCTGGAAGTTACACTGTATAAATTACATTTTTACCAAACACCATAAAGCACAGTAAACTAGGCTCTGGTTGAACCCATAAACACTAGCTTCAGTCCTCACAGCTGATAGTATTGTTGCGTGTATCTTCCACACAACTCCTGGAGCCAAGAGTGCCCAAAGATCAACACACTGAAAAATTAAAACGGTAAATAAATAAGAAGGAATGTGCATATAAGTCAACCCAAGAAACTATTACCTGCTGGTGTGGCTTTTGTGAAAGCGGCTCATTTTGTGGCTGAAAAGTAGGTTGGAAAGTTGGTTGTACTGGAGGAGCTGGAGGAATCCCAGGCTGCGGCATGCCAGGCTGCGGCATGCCAGGCTGTGCCATCCCAGGCTGCGGCATGCCAGGCTGCGGCATCCCAGGCTGCGGCATGCCAGGCTGCGGCATAGGAGGAAATGGAGTTGTAGAGAGAAGCCCAAATCCTGGCATCTGTCCATTAGGAGGAAGTGGAACCTTTCATTTTAAAGAAGAGTTAAATCTAGTTTAAGTAACAGCAACCAAAAATAAGTTTGAAAAGTTACTTTATCTACAACTTTAATAAACTTTATTTAAAAAGCTATCTGACTTCTGTATGAGTAACTTTTCTGTAAACCATTCTACAACTCATTTATTAGAATTCTCAATGGTGATTCAAGATACAGCTTTATTTACTAAAGGTAGCAAGATGACAAGGTAGTCTTTTTTTTGTTTTGTTTTCTTTTGTTTTTCGAGACAGGGTTTCTCTGTGGTTTTGGAGCCTGTCCTGGAACTTGCTCTTGTAGACCAGGATGGTCTCAAACTCAGAGATTCGCCTGCCTCTGATTCCCGAGTGCTGGGATCAAAGGCGTGGACTACCACTGCCTAGCCAAGCTTTTAAAATAGAAGGAAAAATGGCTGTAATTTCTAGATTCCTGGGGGGGGGAAAGTACTTTGTCTTCTAGACTTGATTGTGTACGCCTGAGTGTTATAAGTTAAAGACCAGGTTGGTCTACAAATGCAATCCTAGGACAGACAGGACTACGCAAAGCAACGCCTTATCTCTGAAACAAGCTCAAAACAAGCAAAAATTAAAGTGATTTTACAGTATAACCCAACTGGCCTGAAACATACAATCTTCCTGTCTCACCCCTCAAATGCTGGGACTATGTGTTAACACCACACCTAACTATGTGCACATTTAAAAAAATTTTACCAAAGGGATTTCTGACATACTTTTAAATTTTCAAATAAAAGTTACAATGTACAGGAGGAGGGATAGATGGAGGAGGGGATAGATGGGAGTGGGGGGTAGACGAGAGGAGGGAGGGGAAACTGTGGTCAGCACGTGAAAAAAATGTTAGTTTAAAAAAAAGGGTAGGGTCTGGAGAGACAGCTCAGAGGTTAAGAGCAGTGACTGCTCTTCCACGGGTCCTGAGTTCGATTCCCAGCAACCACATGGTGGCTCACAACCATCTTTATTCAATCTGGTGCCCTCTTCTGGCATGTAGGCAGAACACTGCATAAGCAATAAATAAATAAATCTTTAAAAAAAATTCTTTAAAAAAAAGGTAAAGCATAGTCTGCCATTTCTGTATGCACTAATTCTAACACCTACAACCAATCATGTTCCCAAATGCCTTTCTATTAAGCATCCTTAAGTTGTCGGTAGAGTGGGGCCATGGTAGTGCACGCCTTTAATCCCAGCACTCAGAAGGCAGAGGCAGACGAATCTCTGAGTTCGAGGTCAGCCTGGTCTACAGAATGAGTTCCAAGACAGCCAGGGATGTTACACAAAGAAAACCTGTCTTAAAAAACCAATCAGCCAATCAACCAAGCAACGAACCGAAATTGGTAGTAATTTGTCTAAAAAGTAACGAACAATATGTCATTTGTTTTCTTCATTATTTAAACAGGCCTCCTCAGTAAGCCATTAAAATCACAGTACCAACTATATGTCATCAAATGCAAAGAATGAACTGGAAATAATACAGACAAGAAAATCTGTAGTGTTAAGGATGTTATCTGGGTGCCCTTTCCAAAGGCTATAAAGCAATGTTTCCCCAGGCTGGTTGTGAATGGAAATCACTGCAGCATTAAAATTCAAACACAATTCCACAGATCACATACAATGATCACAGTGGGAGTGCACAGGCTCTGTCTTTAATGGCCTCACCCTGCCCCGAAGTTAGATTCATAGCAAAATGAGTTCACAGTATTTAGCAAAATCAATCCGTTGACTCTGATCTCTGTAACTCTTCCGGCGTGCTATATATGTTTTGTTGTATAATTCAAACTGTCTGCACTATCAATACCAGGCCGAAAGCCCTCGGCAGCAGCCAGTCTCCACAGCATATAGGAAAGACTTCCAGCAAAGGAAACAGCTGTGTGACTATAGAGTTTCTTTAAATAGAACTGTAATGTCATTGAACTATTTCAACTAAAATATCTATTCTTCTTATTATTAGATAAACATGTTATGTTTATAAACATGTTATAATAAAGATACATTCCACAGCTCTCTTGGGGCCTGAGTTCTCCTTAGCAAACTTCACAGCAACAACAGAGCTCAGAGATACAAACAGGTCCCTGAGAACAGATCTCCAGTTCAGAAAACCTGTACCTGATGGTGCACTGTATCCTGCTGCATCCCCATCATCCGAGGTGGAAACTGGTCCATACTTTGATGCTGTGTATAGGCTGGTTGCTGCATGCTGTCCCCAGGATAGCCACTAAAACAAGGTGAGCATTTTTATTATTATTCATTCAAAACCACTTAAGACTTAGTCACATTTACATTGCAGAATGCCACTTAGGAGTCACAGGTAATCAACAAATACTAGTCCAACATAAAAGCTACATTTTTAAATTCTAATTCTGCAAAGGATACAAAGTCTCTTAATACAATTTCACAAAATACCCCACTGAAATCTGTTTTTAATCCTAACTGTTGCTTAGATTGTGCTTTGTAACCGTTACCAATATCAAAGACAAAAGGATACTCACAATGGCACCTGTGGAGGAGGGGGTGAGGTGGCAGAGGGTACCGGCACAGCAGGAGCAATAGCAGGTGTGGTCACGGAGGGCGGGGGAGGTGCAGCCGCAGGGGCTGCAACAGTGACAGCGGTGTCCTCTTTCTTTGTGTCTTCCATGGCTTCTGGCTCATCATCATAATCGAACCTATCCAGCAGCTTCTACAATGCATATGGCAATGCTCCACTTAATACAGGCTCAATCAGCACACCAGAAACTTTACAGAACAACAGATATTTCTATCAGTTACAACCCTACCATGCTATGTCTTTTTCTCCTGTATGTCCTGGGGAGCTTGGTCCAAAGACAGACAACACTGCCATTAACGCCACATTAGTAAACATACAACTTCAAATTCTACATTCCTTCTCCAATAGTAAAAGCAGTGTTTTCTTTCTGCATATTCACTGCTTATTTCATAATAAAATCAGCAATAGACTTAATTTATCTAAAATATTCATTTGTCTAGAGAGAAGCTTCTGGAGCTCTGCATAATGCAAACAGGTGTGTGCTTTCAGGCAGCTAGACACCCATGTCCACAGTTTGTCTGGCCACGAATACACTGTCATAACAAAAGAAAAAACTATGGTGCGGGACAGGGACAGACAAAAGCTGCTAACTTTAGTAGTTTCCTTCTCAAAACTTCACAACTTACACCAATTACAAGAAACTTTCATTAAAAACAACAAACAAGCCCAAATAATCCACAAGAGTTCACAAATCTAGAACAGTAATTTTAAAATAAAAAGTAAATTTAAAAATTTTTCAAAATAGTATTTTAAGATAAAAAGTTAAACAGTAATTTTAAATTTAAAATAAGTTTTAAGATAAAACTTAGAGGTGATGGTTATGCAGGTAAACTGCCTGTCACTGCAAGTCTGACACCACCGAGAGTCGTCCTTGGAACCCTCCACCAAATGGCCCTGCTACCTCAACATGTATACCATCGTACACATACGACACTCCCACACATTGTAACTTTGAACAGTTATACTCTGTAATCATAAAGCCTGCGATATAGATCTATATTTTTGTATATAGACAGGGAAACCTAGGCACAGGAGGTTACGCACTATGAACCAACCTACAGTCAGTGAGTGTGGAGTCATGGTGGACACTGTCTCTTACACTTCAAAGCCTAAGTTCAGCTTGGGCATGCACTTTTCTTTCCAGCTGTGCCTGCTACGCTCACAGCCTCCACCTCAGGCTGTTGTGCCTAGAAACTCTGGTGTACTTCATCAACAGACTGCTAAGTCACGACACAGAACTAAACCAGAGTGAAGAGGACCTGCCATAGCAGACTTCTTTATAAAAGAACAGCTGTGTTTTCTAAATGTAATCTGTACTTCAGGTACTTTGCAGTCTCGCATATACTAACTTATTTTATAGTACCAAGATACAGTATAAGTTATAACATCCATACATATTGATCTGGGAAAAGACCTGAATCAATTACAGAATTTCTAGCTTATCAAAAAAAATTTTTTCGATGGTTCAGAGGAAATGGATGATCTGAATAAAACAGATTTTAGTCAAATGAAAGAGCACAGAACACACACACACACACACACACACACACACACCCCTTCACTCCCCAGCAGATAATTCTGTTTTGCAAACCTGATGGAACTAACAACTATGCAGGTGAACCAGCAAGATAAGATTCGCACCGCCATGGTCTCTACCCAGCAGATGCCAAAGACTGTCAAGTCTAGTACCACCTAGACATCCCAAGGGAACACCTAGGAAACTAGGCACTCGATACTGCAACTAGTTACTAAAGGAGATAAACACCAGACTTTTCTCTCTGGTACTATTAACCAAATTAAGTTCTAAGAAACATTTAAGAAGACTAAGAATCCAAGGATCAGTGAAACTAAAACTTTATGTAAGGCCTTTATGAAGACCATCAGAACGTTTTAATTTCTATGGAGAATCTGTAGCAGTGCACCCTAAAGCTACCCAACAAGCGTGTTTTGAGGGTGATGTACATTACTGTTTTTTTAGATCACGAGAGAGAGAGAGAGAGAGAGAGAGAGAGAGAGAGAGAGAGAGAGAGAGAGAGAGAGAGAGAGAGAGAGAGAGAAGACAAGGACAATAAAGACATTAAAAAAGCAAACAAACAAACAACAAAGAAAAAAATCTCACACAGCTGCTCTTCCAGGGGACCCAGTTCAGCTCCCAGCACCACACAGTGGCTCTCAACTGTAACTCCAGTGCCAGGGGATCTGATGCCTTCCTTCTCTGACCTCCACTGGCACCAGGCATGCGCAAGGTTCATATATATATATATATCTTCATGCCAAACATTTACACACACAAAATAAAATAAAGCTAAGAAAAATCTTTCCATCCAATCATCACAGATACCACTTATGGGTTATCTGAAAAATCTATACATAAGACCATGACTAGCCTAAGTAAGTCTGAGAAATAATTTAAGCAGAGGGACATTTGGAACTAAAGTATGTATATGTGTGCTGGGTGATTAGGTACTTGTACGGGCTATGACCCAAAGTCGTATAGCACCAGATATATGTCTCTTCAACTATTAAGATGCAGAAATAAACACTGGTGTGACAAGGTAGTGTCAAAAAACTAAAACCCCCCAAAACAACAAAAACAGACATAAAAACAAGACTTTATAGTAAAACTAAAGAACAAAAACCAGCTACTTCAAAAACATAAGCACTTGTTCAGTGGTGGTGGTGCATGCCTTTAATCCCAGCACTCGGAGAGGCAGAGGCAGGCGGCTCTCTGTGAGTTCCAGACCAGCCTGGTCTACAGAGCGAGTTCCAGGACAGCCTCCAAAGCCACAACAACAAAACCCAAAACAAACAAAACAAAACGCACTTAACAAAATCTTGAATGATGATGTATAACATACCCCACTCCAGAAGGATGAGACACAGTCAGGAAGCAGAAGTGGAGAACTAAAGAAGGATTTGGGGGTGGGGGGCGGGAGCAGGGATACACAAGAGAGAATCTGCGCCCATCTGTACAAGGAAACAGGTCTGCAAGCAGACACACCAACACATCTTTTCAAAGGAGCACGCTTTTTCTTTTTTATTGCTGTGTTAACTCTGTACTGTTTCTCTTACAAACACAGAACATTCCTCATCCATGTGCGTGTGTGCAGACCATGTTTATGTCAGTGTCTTCATCACAGTCTTGCTCTGTGTCTCCATGCAGCTTTTCCACGGATACCGAGCATGTAACCCTGGTCTTCACGCTTGTACAGCAAGTATTTACTGACCACATCATCTCTCTGACCATGTTTATTCCTTTTTCACTCAAAATTTAATCCAGTATTTCCTAAATTCAGGAGTCACTTATGAAACACTCAGCTAAAATAATGAAAACTGGCATTTACCTACAACATTGATTATTAATTATTGGTGATAAATTTCTTATAACTTATTTTAGAAAGAATCATACATTTTAGAGATCACGAAATCAAACATTATTTAATGCTACAATTTTCAAACTTTTTTTTTTAAACTGTGAAACTGGAAAAAGAAATTTTAAACAATCATAACCCTAACAAAAACATGAAAGACAAAAGTAGAGCTGTCTGGGTTGAACCCCACAGCACACCCACACCCCGGCTGGCAGGCAGTATCTTAAACATGCCCGTTAAGTTTCAATCTGAGACGATCCCCATGGACTCAAGTTCACTTGGTGCCCAGTTGGTTGTCTCTTTGGGAGACGGTGAGCAGTTGAAGGCCACCAAGGGCAGCTTCTCAAAGTCTCACTTGGTCCAGGCTCTTTTTCCCTCTCCTTGCTTCCGGTCCACTTTAAACTGAAGAGACTCATCTGCTACGTGGTCCGGCTGCAACCACTGATTCAACTCTCTGATACCAGGAACCAAAATTCATCTTCCCTCTTTCAATTTGCTCTCCTGGGTATTTGGCCACAGCCACACAGAAAAAGAGCCCCTAAGGATGGCAAGGCCCACTGAGTAAGCAGAGAGATGCTGGGGTCAGTCACCCCAGGACTCACGTCACAGACATGGTAACTACAGTTATCACAGCAACAGCAAATGTCATTCAGTAGCAAAATAGATAACCTGATCTACTGGATCTTAATAACCATCCATGCTCAATATACACAGACCTAACAATACAGTTCAAAACAAAAGCATAGACCTGCAGTGCACTGTTTCTGGGAAAACATACAACAGAACCCAACAGCATCATTGCTAGGTACAAGTGAAGAATTGCTCTGTTCACTTTTCTTTATTCTGTAAGCTTGTTGACAGTGAGCCTGCACGACATGCATAACCAGGAAAAACCCTTTTGACATTGAGGAGGAAGATCAAACCACAGACAAACGGACAATGCCTGCAGGAGCTGCAGAAGAGAGCCTACAATGCACAGTAAGACAGACAGTGGTGATGTGAGAGAAGCGTACCTTGTCAAATGCAGTTTTTTGTTCAGGTGGGGGGAAAGCGGCTTTTTGTTCAGGTGGTTGTGTAGGAGCTGTCTTTAACTGAGCTGTGATAGCCTGAACCTGGGCCATCACAGCATTGTCAAGGGCGGGAGACTGTGGTTTTGGAGGCTGTTGAAAAGTCTGAAGGATCTGCTGAAGCTTAAAGAACGGGAAAACTGATAAACCACACAACAAAGCATCATCATCAAAGTTAACTTACTAAAAAGAAAAGAATCTCAGAGTGGCTAAAAATAGCATAGCAGTAAGTAAACTGGGCAAAGAATCCACCATTCACTAATGGCTAAATCTGTCAATGAACTTATTACAGTGTATTGCTTATGGTTAAAAATGTATGCTGACAATCCCAAAGATACAAACAAGGCTCAAAGAAAAAGAGAAAACACATGGAATTGTAACAGCAAGTTTTCTAGAAATACAGAAAATTTCACTCCATATAATCTTGAGTCAATCAGAAAAACTAGAATGTGAGAACAACACCTGCCACTTCAAAAGCTCTCAGCTCTTTCCAGGAGATACTGTCGCTTCCTTACTGTGGACACTCGCGTTTCTCGTGTCAGCTCTAACTCCTCGCATTAGCTCCCTAGTGAAGGCTACTCTGGTTGAAGACATTCTCTCCCGCCAAGGAACATGGGAAGGAGGAGCAGGAACAACGCTCTGCTCTGCAAGCCATTTGCATCACGCAGCTTACCTGCTGGCCCTGAGTGGTCTGAAACAGTTGAGCCACAGCAGCAAAGGCATCAGAGCTGGGCAGCTGTGGCACAGTAGGCATGGAGTTTGTGGGCGCTTGTGCCAGTTCAGAAGACACTTTTACTGGGGGTGGAGGAGACCCTAAAAAGCAAAGGGCATCAGGCCTCAGAAAGAGTCAACTTCATACCTTCCTCACTCCTGTTTAAACCAAATTCTGTCCAGTTTAACTTGTGGTTGGTAAGGTATATACTACATATAAGTGACAAAGGGCACATTGCCATTTGAAGTAAGAATTACATGAAGAAAAACTGTGCCTTCCAAATTCAAAGTTTCCTTCCTATGGGAAAGTTCTACTAACTCAGCAACAAACCTTTCATGTAGAGAAACTCAATTCTTTTAAATTTTTTCTTTTTTTTTCAAACAGTATACTCTGATTATGTTTCCTTCCCAACCCCCAAATCCACACCAATTCTCTCATTAGAAACCAAACAGGCATATAAGGAATAAAAACATGATAAAACAAAAACAAACCAACCAGAGTAGAACAAAACAAATGAACAGAAGAAAAGGAGCCAGAGTTGCTAGTGCGCTAGGACCTCTCTTACCATCAGACACTGACTGACCTTCATTGTTGGTGACATTTTCTGCTACGGGAACAGCATTACTGGTTCCTGCTGCCATGTCCAAAAGAGGTTGAATAATTTCAATTTTGAATACTCCATTTTTTTGCCAAAGATTTAGCACACGAACTATTTTACTCTGTTATGTGCAAGAAAATGAACATACAATAAATATTTACGGAAATTGCTTATCATATCTGATTTTAAAGAGAAACCATTACTGTTTCGACGGGGGTGGGGTGGGGTGTGGGGGGTATTTCCATCAGCATCATTGCCCAGTTAAACAACTCAAATGAACCTTTCCTCAGTGGTCTAACCTAATAAAAAGGAACATAGACAGACTAGATACCTAGCAATTAAAAAGGAAGATATTTGACTATCAATGCTCAGAGTTACAAAGAAAAACACTGACAAAACTCAATTATCTTAAAAAAGTTAACCAGGTGAAGACTGTCTTCAGGATGATCAAGACATTAACTATCTCAGAGACTATCTGCACGTGGTCAGCAGCGCATGCTTGTGATGCCAGCTCTCAAAACGGAGACTGCACATCAAGGCCCAATTCTCCAGCACAAAAAACAAATGAAAACCAGTCTTTAAGAAATTGGGTAACAGGGAAAAGATGGTTTTTGGCCAAGTAAGTATGAAGGAGAGACTCAGATGAAACTCTGTTGTTATGAGCACAGGGTTAACTCAGATGAAACTCTGTTGTTCTGGGCACAGGGCTAACTCCTGTTCAGGGTCTCTTTATAAAATCCTGCTTCAAGAGCCTAAGAATGTACACACAGACACTGCAAAGACACAGTGTTCCTCTTAATATAAATGTCTCCATTCTCATTACTAAGTACAGAATCCATGATTCCACACTGAAAGAGTGGACCACAGTTATGGCAGACAGAGGAAAAGAGTCTAAACTGTAAAGGGGGCAACTTAACCCTTCACAACTCGGAAAAGGGCTGGTTAATTGTCTCACAGCTAAACCTACATACCTGCTGGCCTTACCCTAGGGTTTTCTCTGAATCTCAAGTCTACCACAGGAACGTGAGAGCCAAAGTAAGCATCCTTTCTCTCTGGTTTGGTCAAACAGCAAATAAATCCAAGTTCCTCTCTGTGTCATAATTTCTTTAGGTACTTAGGGAAACCAAAGCAGCTGCTGATGAGTATTCAATAATACTGCTGTGTAACATTATGTGCGACTATCATGTTCCTTCTTTCTACAGAACATTGTGAAACTGTGTGTGTGTGCGTGTGTGTGTGTGCGCGTGTGTGTGTGTGCGCGCGCGCGCGCGTGTTGTATTTTTTGTAGTCTTATTGCAAATGAGTATCACTCACACGCCTGCACGCTGGGAAGAAGAATTCTGGGCCTTCTACAATACTACAGAGCTGCTCATCGTCAAGGACATCTTTGTAGCTCAGGTTTGCTGTTACAGCAATCTTCCAGCAGCTACTGGTTAAGTGCTGAGATCAAAGGCATGTGCCACCATGCCCAGTTGGTGATTTTTCTTTAAAGACAATGCTTCCTGTACACCTCTTTTTGGCTTCTTTTAACTGGGATAAGAACATTAACACAAAGCATACCTTCTCTAGAAATCTTCAGTGTACAACACAGAGCTGTTCATTTTAAGGACCATGTTTGGCAGGTCTCAGAACTTTACCTTGCACAGCCGACACTTGAGACCCACTACTAAGCAACTCCTCACACCCCACTCCCCAGCAATCACACTCTTTGCAGATTGGTTCCTTCTGCAATTCAACATTACAAAAGCCCTTGTGCAGAGAGGCCATGTGAATTTGACATTTCACAAGGAAATGAGACTACGAAATGACCACTGCAAAGAAAACTGAACTTCAGACGAGTTTACTACATAAAGATATTATCTAATAACACAGCAGGTTTTAAATAACATGAATCCAAAGTCTCAATAATGAACCCAACAAGAATGCAAATTTCACAAGTTATTAGCTGTACCTTATCTTCAGATGGACAAAGATATAAATATTGGAATGTAGCAGTTATATTTTTAGAGAATCTTGGCCCAAAAACATCTTTATCAGTGCCAAATTGATGACGAGACTGTCTCACAATGGAATCAATGACATATAATCCTGGAACCTTGTATTCTGGTTTACACTGCAAGGGTAAAGATACAAAATTAATATAAGAACAACAAAACCAGGGAGTGTGATAGCATACACCTTTAATCCCAGCACCCCAGAGGCAGAGACAAGTGGGACCTCTGTGAGACCCAGTCTACTCTACTTAGTAAGTTCCAGGCCATGCAGAGCTATACAGTAAACCCTGTGCCTTGTGCCTGCCCGCCCCCGCCCACACACACACACACACACACACACACACACACACACACACACACACACACACACACACACACACACACACACACGGAAATCCAAAGCAAATCTGACACCCATTATCTCAAGAGTATGCAGCTCCACACATCCACCGTCCACGGTGTAGGAACTACTCAAGTGTTCCAGCCACTTAACTGCTTCCAGTCTGTGGACATTACATTCTTTGATATCTCAGACTCCAAGGACCCCCCCCACCCCCAGATCCTCCATTTCCTCTCCAAAGCTTCCCAGAGGCCATGGCCAACTCACTTTCCAACATCTCAGTTATTATGAGTCTCTGAGTCAGTAATTTCCATGCTTTAAAATTACTAAAACATACTTTTAAACATGTTGGTTTTACCAGAGAAATAAAAAGTAAAAGGAAAGGTCATTTGGGTCTATAAGCTGGACAAAGGCGAAACAAAACACTTAGAGAAAATAAGCATTTCTATAGGAAAAGGTATAACCCTTCATGGAAGACAATTAATTCAGCAACAGAAATAAAGCCTTCTGCTGGGCGGTGGTGGCGCACGCCTTTGATCCCAGCACTGGGGAGGCAGAGGTAGGCAGACCTCTGTGAGTTTGAGGCTGGGCTGGTGGGCTGGACTGATAGCCTCCAAAACAATACAGAGAAACCCTGTCTCGTAAAAAACAAAAGCAAAAGCAAAAAAAGAAAGAAATAAATAAAGCCTTCTTTGATCTTAAGAATTTATGCTAAGGAAAACAACATGCATGCATGTTTTCCTTTAAGGCTAGCTACTGAGGCATTTTCAATGAGAAATAACTACACTGGCTAAGTATATCATAGTAACGCTCACACAATGGGTCTTTTTTTTAGATGTTTATAATATATTCAGTAGGAAAAGCAAGTCAATAACCACCTTGTGTCCATTTTCCTTACAGAGACTCAGGCGTACACTGGTAACCGGGGTCAGAAGCACACGTGCAATCAAATGCTGTCCCCATTTACATCTTTGCCTTTTTGGTCTGCTGCTACAGGAAGCGTCTAACTGACACAAATACCTACTGTGCACCTAATGATCCAAGACACATCAATGGGCTATAAGATGCTTAAGATCTATTGAGAAAGATGTGCTCATCACATACACTTTAAGACAACACACAACCACACGACTAAGAAAGTTTAGTTGTGATGGCAACAGGGGAAAGTCAGGAAAATTAAAAAGTAACTTCATCTCAAGAACTCACAGGAGAATTAAATGTCAACACAGTAGATGGGGCAAAGGGTCTAGAACAGGCAAGCCCTTAGGCTTAGGGAAGGGTCCCAATACAAAAACAATGAGTTCTGTTGTTGGGTATGACAGAAGCTGAGTGCCAAGCTTCTCGCCAACATTCAATGAATGGCAGTCATATGAAGAAATGCCTTGTTTTTATTTTTAAAAACATTTATTTTACTAGTATGGGTGTTCAGTCTATCTGCGTGTGCACTATGTGGATGTCTATAGCTCGAAGAGGCCAAAACCAAGCACAGGACTCCCTGAAACCGGCTAAGAGTGTGAGCAGCCACGTGGGCGGTAGGACGCACACCCAGGTCTTCCGAAAGCAGTTTCCATGCTCTTACCTTGTTGAGCCGTGGCTCCACCCCAGGAACTACTTTCTTTCTAGAGTGTTTTTAGAAGCACACATCCAAATTTCTTTTCACATATGTAAATACATCATAATAAACATGGTAATAATGAAATAGTTACCTTTTTGATGAACTTTTCTACTATTTGAACAACATGCTTATAAAGCTGAAAGACAGAAAATTACAGCCAGTTTATACATTCCTACATTTCCTACAATTAGTGAACCCCCAAAACCTTGAAATTTTTAATTTAAAAATTTAGCAATTAACTCAAAGACTCTTTAGAAATAGCTCAAACTCATTAACAAAGAATCTTGGGAAAGGAATTAATCAAAACAAAAACTACACACTCCTTTCCAAGAAGAATGCGCTTTCTTAGTGGCCCAAACTTCATGAAGTAAGGGTCAGGCTAATGTAACATGACAGAACAGAACCAAAAATAATAACATTTCTAAACTGTGCCATTTACTAAAATGTGATCTTGAGTAACATATTTCCCAAAGCCCAATTTTGACCCTTTTTTTTTTTCCGTAAGAAGACAATTATCTGACAGCTGGTTTATAAAGACTGAAACAGTATTGTCACAAACTTTCAGCAAAACTTAATTCATTCACAAGATAAATTCTGACGTTAACAATATTCTAAATAATGCAAAGCAGAGCTGGCCAGACAGCTGAGTGGGTTAGGGTATTTGTTACAGAAGCCTGGCAAACCGAGCTGGATCCCTGAACCCATTATCAAGGTGGAAGAAAAGCAGCCTTCCAACCTCCACATGGCACGTCCTCACCCTACCAACAATAATTAACTAAAAGTATTTCTAAGTTAAGTGTTTTATCCTTACCTTAATAGCTTTAATAGCAGCTTTAGTGATCAGAATCATTTTGGCTCTAGAGATGGGAGGTTTCATATCCATAAGTGAAAAAAGCTTGAAAAATAAAAGAGATAAAGGTAAATTCAGGTCAATCTCCTTATTTTACAAAGACATTTATATCTATTGGCCAAGAGAACAACAAACCTTTGTAACTAAAACTGGTCAATTCGGCTATATATCCAGTATCAGTAACTTTTCTATATACTTGCATCTTCACTTAGAAAAAACAATGGAGAGGATTACATTAAAAAGAAAAAAAAGTATGAATACAGAAGCAAAAACATCTAAAAAGATGCAAAACCAACAAAATCAGTCTTTCAAAAAAAATCTAAAAACTGTGAAGGGAACAACACACCTCTTCCTGGACTGAGTTTGATGATAGTGTAATTGTATCAGTGTTTAGTGTAATTTCAATGTTTAGTGTGATATCAGTTCCAAATCTTACTGAGTACTGAGACCTTGAAGGACTTTCAAAGGTCATTTAGATAAACATGAAAAAAGTCAAGCAATAGATTTAAAATGCCATTATAAAGATACAAATATCTATGAATGCTAGTGTGAGAATTCAAAATTTCTTCAAGCAATCAGGTATTCTCTTGATGGCAAACACACAATATTCCCCCCCCCAAATTATATCCAACTGAGATATTAATAACCAGCCTCCCATGAGCCATCTCCAATTCCCTCCAGCTTGCACTAATGTTTCAAGTGTATATGTGCTGCTCATACCATACTGTCTAGACAATACATCACCAGTCTAAAAAATAAGTCTCTTCCCAGGGTCAGCAACCCCACTTTCAGCACGACCTAAAAATTCACAATTTCACAGCTCTTTAAAACTTGGGACAGTTTGCACCTACACATAGAAAAGGGTTAGGATGCTGGATGCAACCAGTACAGGAGCCACATACTTTACCAAGAAAAGGCTGGAACATTTCTATAAATAATAAGAAAATGGGGGAAACAACTTAAGGTAAATTCATTTTCTGGAGAGATTATTTAAAAAAACAAAAAAGACACCAATTCTTTATTATTTCCTAATATACAAATTCCTGATCAATAAGAGGCACACTGTTCTTTGACAGGATCTGAGTTTGGTCCCAGCACCCAGGGTGGTGGGTTGCTCACCAGTAGATGACTCTAACCCCAGGGGATCCCAATCTCCTCTTCTGGCCTCTGTGGGCACCTACATTCATATATATGCATATGCAAATAAATCCGCCTCCCCCCCCAAAAAGGTTCTCCTTGAGAATAACACTAAATGGAAAAGTAGAGAGAACATAGTAATGGATGAAGCTATGCAAATCAGTGAACTAAATAAATTTAACTATTTCAACTTAAAAACTCTAAAGCTGGTTCATAAACATACAGCTCACATTTACTATTCTTTTCATCTCTGTACCTTAAAACATAGCAAGGCTGCAGAGAAGTTCTCAAGGGTCAGGAGTAGACTGCCTCAGATTATACATATTAGGTCATGTCAACAGTAAACAAGTCACTGCTTTTTTCTCTTGGCTGGAAAGATGGCTCAGCTATTAAGAGCACTCACTACCTTTTCTCCCACAGGTCCTGAGTTCAAATCCCAACATCCACATGGTGGGTCACAACTATCTATAAAGGGATCTGATGCCCTCTTCTGTAATGTAATGCAGGCACATGTGTAGACAGAGCACTTGTACATAAAATAAATGAAAGTGTTTAAAGTCCAAAGAACATACAGGACTGTTACTGCTTCCATGAAAAAGCAAACCTGTCAGTCATTTTAAAACTCCAAGGCCAGACTACCATGTAGCAACAGTCAACTTTTGAGCAGAGTAACAAGAGGTGCCCAAGGGAGAAGAGGTCAGCGCTGGCCTTGTCCCCTCTGAGATCCGTTTTCAATGATTCTTGGGAAGGTTCCATGCTTCAGATGATGCCCAAGGAATGAATCTGAACTAAAAACTGTCAAATCTCGTCTATTCTAAAGCTGACACTTCCTAGTAGTGTATCCAATGCTGCTTCCCAACTACATTTATTGGAGAGCACTGACCATGACAGGGAATCCAAGAAACCAAAGAATGTTGCATTCATTCAGCAGGGAAAACAGAATGTGGGCTGTGCACTTGACAGCCAGCAGACATGCAAATGGATCTTTAACCCAAACAGGCCCATGTTTGAAACAGAAAAGTCTTCCATGAATAAAGCTGAGAAGTTTGTGCTTGAAGGAAGCCTAGAATGTACTGGAAGTTAGGGATACAAAAAACGACAAGAGAGCAGAGCAAAAAGCCACACAGAAGAACATCAGAGCAAAGTGAAATCAACCTAAAACTCCAAAAGGCACTGGCACTTTCGAACACCTAAACCTTGCTCTTTTGTTTAAGAGACTATAGGGTGTAAGACATGAAAGTTTTATTAGTATGTATTTGGGTGTGACATGAATATAGGTATGAGCATGTCAGAGTACACGTGGAAGGGGGCAGAGGGCAACTTTAGGTAGTCAATTTTCTCTTTCCACTGTTAGCAGACTCCAACTGCCTATGAACAGCACTGGTCCAATGAGTCCCTTTGCAGACCCCAGACATGAGTTTTTCACTGTGGTTAGAACTGCATGCAAGCAGAAATGTATTAGTGAGCTACTTTTCACTCAAAAGCTCAACAAACATAATTGGCATAGAGAGGCAGCAGGACCATTTTCAAAACTATTTAGAGACAGGGCATCACTGTGTATCCCTGGCTGACCTGGATTCAATGAGTAGACCAGGTCAGCTTTAAAATCAGAGCCTTGCTTTGCCTCCCTCTAAGTGCTGACACAAAGTGTGTACACCATGCCTGGCTTATGCTTCAGAACTCTATAGATGGCCTTACCTGTTAAGCATCTTAAGGGTCCCGGGGCACCTGAGTTTCTTTTTAGACAACCTCGACTCTCCCTTACCCAAGTCTTAAGAGTTGTGAATTTGTAGTTGATGTAACTGGAAGAAAATCACTTTAGGAAAGCTTCAAAATTGGATATATAGAATTTATTTTCCAAAGCTGATAGTTAACAGTATCTTACTGATTTCAAAGCACAAACTCAAAGCATCTCTGTTTACAAGTCAAAGTGGTCCCTTACTATCTAGACAGACCAGAAGCTTCATTAGACGTGAAGCCACTTCCATGGAAATACTCTAACTCCCATCATGTGGACAGAAGTACTAAGAAGGGGTCGGGGAGACAGGATTCCATGCCCACAGATGAGCAAGCTAAGGTTCAAGAATCAGTCCCTGCTGCTACATTAACATGCCAGTCCTAAGTTACTACAATACAAATTTGTGTGAGTGTCCCCGTGAGCGTGTGTAAGGCAGAGGTCAACCTGAGCTGTCTTGCTTAGGGGAGCCACCAGCCCTGATAGACAGACAGACAGACAGACAGACAGACAGACAGACAAAAACTAAGCTAGACTGGTTGAAGAGCAAACCCCAGGGGACAGGGCCTTCTTCCTCAGTCCTGGGATTACGGTCACATGCCAACAAGAAATAGGCAGAGCCTGTTGGAGAAGACTGCTGGGTATCCTTGGGAGGTTGTATCTGACGTTACCCCTTGCTCCCCTGTGAAGAAACATGTCTGAGCTGCTGTGAACATGCCTTTGCTGCCACCACGGACTAAAACCCTCTAAAACCAGTGCAGACAAGCCTTTCTTCCTTTCAACTGTTAGTGCTGTCACAGGGACAAGGAAACCACCACTCCAGCGGGGCTGGCAAGCCTGCTCAGGCAGGGCCCCTGCTTCACACATACAAGGCCCCATGTTAGAGTCCTACACCAGAAAAGAAACACAAAAACCAGAACCCTGCCCAGTTACTGAGATGATCAGAACGAAAAGTACTCAGAAGCGCTCAAATGTCACAGATGGGTGACTGGTACACTGGTCTCAAGCTTGTCTTTGCTCGGAGCCTTCAGAAGCCAGACTTCTTCCTGTGCTGTACAGCAGAGTGCACTTGCCAAACACTGAGCCATGCACGCATGCCCAGGCAAGCCAGGGCCCCGCGGCAACTGCTTCTGAAATTGATCCATGTCTTTAAAGAACAATACTGTATTACTGCCTTATGAATTATTAATTCAGTTCCCAAATGGAATTATCTAAAATGGTTCCTAAAAGTTGTCTTTTTTGCCGGGCGTTGGTGGCGCACGCCTTTAATCCCAGCACTTGGGAGGCAGAGGCAGGTGGATCTCTGTGAGTTCGAGGCCAGGCTGGTCTACAGAGCTAGTTCCAGGACAGCCTCCAAAACAATACAGAGAAACCCTGTCTCGAAAAACCAAAAAAAAAAAAAAAAGTTCTTTTTTTTTCTTTCCTTGGTATCTATGCCCACCCTCCCTCATTTGTACCAATTCCAATTTTGTTTTGTTTTCTTTAATTAAAATCAATTATGCTAAGCCCAACACAAAGGTCTGTGACACCTGCTACTTGAGAAGCTAAGGCAGAGGTTACAAGTTCAAGGCTGGCCTAGACAACTTAGTGGGATCTTGTGTCAAAATAGAAATTAAAAATAAGTAACAAATACACTGTTAATGTTTTCTATTTATAAGCAGTTTCTCGGATCTAAAGTAAATGACTTACTACTTATCCCTTCCTCTCCTCATCCAGAGCCAAATTGCAATTTAATAATCTTAAATAATCTTAAAAATTTTGTCAAGGAATCTCTCAGATTTACAAAGGCTGGCCTTGTGACAATCCACAACTTTGATTACAGCTATTGACTTTTCATAATTTGTTATTCTCGGTCAGAACACCGACCCAATAATCAACTAACAGTCCACAAAGTTTGGCTCTACCACTGGCTAATGCTGAGAATGTAAACATGCCAGGCCCTGTGGCATTAATGCAGCACGTAGCGGGGAGTGTGTGCCCTAGAAGTCAGCATACTACCAGGACAGCTCACAACAGTGCTTTCCAAGCTACAGGCTGACGTCACAACTGAGACTTTTAATGCACTGGCTCTCGACTAATGTCCCTTATAGAAAATGGCAGAGTCTGCACATTCTCTCTGTATACTTTCAATCATCTCTAAACCACTTGTACTATCTATACATGGCAAGTACTA